CATCACATCAAATATTTCTATTTCCATAAGCTCACGGCCAACCCTGATAAAAAACATCATTGAACTTTATTCAGGGTGAAAGGAACATCATATAGGCATAAAATGGTTCAATTTCTATTATGGAATCATATTTAGTACCTATGAAATCTATTCTTCATTTTGCATTGAAATGTAGAAAATATTTGTGTGTAGAGAATTTCAAATGATCATGAGTATGGGTTGGTAATAACATATTTCTAGGAACGAATTGATTTTTTTCTACAAGCGTGCGTGATTCACCCTATACCCGCACGCAATTTAGTTTGGGAAGTCTCATTTTCCCGCAACAGTGCGGGAAAACAAAGATATGATAAAATCGCTAGTAATATCAGTGGTTGGTGATGGAATATAAAAGTTTTTAAGTTTGTTTGTTGCAGTATTAAGTATGTATGTTCAGAATCATCCATCAAATTGCACTATTTATTGTAAAAATCAAGAAATATTGAGAAATAAAAATGGATTATTATAAAAATCCCCCTATAGATTTGGATTGATCTGACGGGAAACGTCAATTTGTCATTTTTGCCAATCAAACCTCAAATAAGTTTGAAATTGTCGAAGTGACAGACACAGCGTTACTGTCATTTTCGATTCAGTGGAAATGGCACAATGCTAGGGCATTTGATACAGATGCGTTATCACCAACGAAGTCTTAAGAAAGGTATGAGAAGCTATACACGCGTTTTATTGAATGGTGCAACAATAAAGAAATGAGAAAACCGAATGAAGAATAGGTATTTTTGGCTCATTTCATAGAAGTGTCTGGAACCTAGAGACCAAAATCCTAATGGGCCTGCTGGCTTCCGCAATGAACCAACATAATGCGTCAAACTGTAAGTTCACAATAGCTATTACTAATAATTAATAGATAGAGAATATATATCTCTTGTTAGTTGTTCCTATTTGCTTGAATAATTAATTGAACGATTCAATCAATTTCCTACGCTTGTAGAAAAAATATTGTTCCTAACTCATGCGGAAAGTTTCTTTCCCGCACTCGACTGCTTGCCCGAACTCCGCTTCGCGTCGTTCGTGTCAACGGCAGTCACGTGCGGGAAAGAATCACTTTCCGCACTTGTTAGGAAAATTACTATTTCGTTATCCTACTTTTTTCTCTTTCTTTCGGTAACTGAAAAATGTAGCAGGTAATACCCCTCAATAGCTTTTGTATTTTTCAAGAGGCATTTTTTTTCTTTTTTGTAACATTTCACAATATTTTTATATTCATACATATTTTAATTGTTTCGCTGCATCTTTCTCTCGCCCAGCGAGCCAGGCGGCAATATTTCCTCGCTTTGGTGCTATGGCCAGAAACATCCTTGGCCAGGCCACAGTATATTATCATCGTGGAAGGATAATATACTGTGGCCAGACGATAGTGGAAACATCCATGATCATCTGTTACAGTACTCCCTAGACGCTAGTGTTCGAAGGTTTGTCAAGAGGGAATATATCATAAATTTGGTATCTCAACTTTCACTGAACATCCTGATATTTGTAGTACCTATATTACCTATAGAAAAGTATATTCTTCTGCGATTATAATCGAATGTTAAATAGTATGGACTTTTGATTCATTTTGTGCATCTGTAGTTTTTCAACTTTGATTCGTCAAATTTGAGGTATACTTTTTGAAACTCTACTAGTGAGAACATAGATGTACGTCATTGTAGCTCCTTCAATTCACACAGCAATTTGAGTCATTCCAACTTCACTGAGAACGTTAATAGCAGCAGTTTTTTTTCAGGAGGAAATCCATCTATCATCGCCAAGCAAAATTCCACATGACCAAGTAGGTAACGCCTACAATGTTTTCTAGAGTTTTATAAGAGGGAGCTGTGTCACCACCTAATATACCCGCCTTGATTTGTATTGAATTGAAGAATCTGCAATAATTGATAGGCCACTATACACAAAGATCTAATAATTCTTCAAGGTGTCCCCTGTCTTATTGAAAGAACCACTAATATCCAAGTATATTGGATTAGAAAGCTTAGTTTCATTTCAAAAGCGAATCATGTTTCATTTTTCTTTAAAATTTATTACTTCTGTGAAAAATGTTTAAGTCATTCCAATTATAGATCGTCCTCTCTATAGATTGTTTTAGAATTTAAGTCACCTCGTATACTATGGCCGTAATTAAACTACCATACAGTGAAGAAAAATGAAACCGGACTTGAATTAACAAAATTATTGACGAGCAAAAATCATCTAAATTTTGAGTGGATCGATTAATTTTCTGGTGAGTGTAGTTGATAAATTCGACTTTGAAGTAACATATACAGAAAAATTACCGTAGCGTTGGAAGAGATTTTGATTTTTTCTATTTTGTATCTCTTATTGTCCTTTCAATTCCGCTCTCTCTACAGGCCATCTAGTACAGGGTGGGGCAAAATATCTGTAACGGTGCAACTCACAGAATGGCCACACTCATCCTGATGTGATCTTCAGAACTCGATAAAAAGAATGGCGATGTCTACTTGTATCCTTTGTTAGAACATATTAGTTATACCCAATGTGTTACAATTTGTTGACATGCATAAAGTCGACAGAGAGAACGGATGATAGAAAGAGATGAGCTCATAAAATGGTCAGGTGTCAAATTGGTGAGAAGGACAAAAATACATTCTGACCAAGTATATCATGGCAGACAACAAAGTAGTTTGTTAATCATTCTATAGTATTCGTTATTTGGAAGTTGCAGCAGTGTTCCTTAACAGCCCAGTGAAATCAATGGATACACATCTTTTTGTCCCACCCTGGAGATAATTAAATATTTGTCCAATTATCAGAACGATGTAAAACAACCTGAACGTCAAATAAAACAAAAAAAAATCAATTTCTATCTCGGCGGGAAGGCACTAACGGCAAGTGTCGATCCAGCGCCTCGCAAATGCTGGGCTGCAAACTCTGGAACGCCGATCCCATGCTGGGCTTCAGCTTGAGTCTCTTTATTGCCCTGCGAAACCAATCGACACACATATTCTACCGCATCCTGAAGATTATTAGATCTCCGTTCACCTCTCATTCCGATACAAAACAACCCGAATGTCAACCAATGTACCATCTCTTCGGGAGAGCAATAACGGCAGGTCTCGATCCAGCGCCTAGCTGACGCTGGGCTGCAGACTCTGAAACGCCAAGGCCATGCTGGGCTTCAGCTTGAGTCTCTCAATTGCCCTGCGAAACCGATTGATAGACATATTTTACCCCGCCCTGAAGATTATCAGATTTTCGTTCACCTGTCAAACCATACAAAACAACCTGAAGGTTAGGTAAAACCCAAAAAACCTATTGGTCATCTCGTCGGGAGGACACTTACGGCAAGTCTCGATCCAGCGCATCACTAACGTTGGGCTGCAGACTCTGCCTATGCTGGACTTCAGCTTGAATCTCTTAATCGCCCTGCAAAATCAAACGATACACATATTTCGCCCCATCCTGGAGATTATTAGATCTTCGTCCTCCTCATGTCGATATAAAATAACCTGAACGTCATCATAAACTTCAAAAACCTATTTGTCATGTCGTAAGGAGGGAACCAACGGCAAGTCTCGATCCAGCGCATCGCTAACATTGGGTCGCACACTCTGCCTAGGCTTGTCTTCAACATGAATCTCTCAATTGCCCTGCAAAACCGATCGATACAGGTATTTTGCCCCACCCTGAAGATTATTAGATCTTCGTTCACCTCTCAAAACGATACAAAACAACCTGAACGTCAACCCAAAAAACCTATTTGTCATCTCGTCGGGAGGACACTTACGGCTAATCTAGATCCAGCACATAGCTTACGTTGGGCCAGACTCTGCCTATGCTGGACTGCAGCTTGAATCTCTTAATTGCCCTGCAAAACCGATCGATACACATATTTTGCCCCACCCTGGAGATTATTAGATCTTCGTCCTCATCTCATGTCGATACAAAATAACCTGAACGTCAACATAAACTTCAAAAACCTATTTGTCAGTCGTAAAGAGGGCACCAACGGCAAGTCTCGGTCCAGCGCATCGCTAAGTTTGGGTTACAGACTCTGCCTAGGCTTGTCTTCAACATGAATCTCTCAATTGCCCTGCAAAACCGTTCGATATACGTATTTTGCCCTAGAGTTCCTAAATGTACTAGACACTGCTGTTTTGACGTTTTTTGAATATTAGAGTACGGACACTATGACAAGCACTGACATTCACACATAACCACAAATAAAATGATGGAAAAGGCGGGAACTGACAGTACACGGACGTACATGACATAAATTTCAAAGGTTCGACAAATTGAGAGAATTAGGAGAAAGAAGCAAGTTTGTGCAGTTTCCAACCGTGGAAACACGAGAAATCAATTCACTCAATTCGAATTTCTATCGGATAACATAATTCTACAAAAATGAAAACAGAATATGATGCGACTGGCATGAAATATAGGTTCAGACCACAAAATTAAATTTTCCCCCACCTTGAGGATTATTACATCTTCGTTCGCCTCTCAAAACGATACAAAACAACCTGAACGTCAAGATAAACCCGAAAACCTATTTTTCATCTCGTCGGGAGGGCACTAACGGCAAGTCTCGATCCAGCGCCTCGCTGACGCTAGGCTGCAGACTCTGGAACGCCGAGCCCAGACTGAGCTTCAGCTTGAGTCCCTTAATTGCCCTGCAAAACCAATCGATACACATAGTTTGCCACACCCTGGAGATTATTAGATCTTCGTCCTCCTCTCATGTCGATACAAAACAACCTGAACGTCAACATAAACTTCAGAAACCTATTTGTCATGTCGTAAGCGCATTGCAAACATTGGGTTGCAGTCTCTGCCTAGGCTAGACTTCAGCTTGAATCTCTCAATTGCCTTGCAAAACCGATCGATACACATATTTTGCACCACCCTGGAGATTATTAGATCTTCGTTCACCTCTCAAATCAATACAAAACAACCTGAACGTCAAGATGAACCCGAAAAACCTATTTGTCATCTCGTCGGGAGGGCACTAACGGCAAGTCTCGATCCAGCGCCTCGCTGACGCTGGGCTGCAGACTCTGGAACGCCGAGCCCAGACTGGGCTTCAGCTTGAAGGTGCTGGGCGGCTGGCTGACGTGCGGCAGCGGGAAGCTCCGCCTGTCGTCCAGGGACTTCGAGTGGACTTTTTCGCACCCGTCGGGCGGTTCGCGAGCCAGGAATTTGTTGATTTGCGGCGAGGAGCCCAGCTTGCTCGTCTCCTGGTCGGGACTCGAGCCTTGGCTGTCTTCTGGAAAAGGCAAGAATACAAATGCGTGGATTAGATTTTATAATATAACTGAAATATACAGGATGCCCGTTTTTCGAGCTTCTCAGTTATTATGAGAGATACGAGGTCGGTTAAATTAAGGCAAAGTCGTGCATTTTCATGCTGAACCTTTATCTGCAAGAAAATTCGATGTGTCATTTCTAGTTTTTGAATTATTCGAAGAAAACGAAAATTTGTAATTTTAGTTTTTATTATTTTAAACATAAACCAAAAGACCTAGACGTTTCTGACTAGGAATCTGAATCTGTCATCGTATTTTCCATGACGTTCTTGATGCCAAAGTTACAACACTCAACTTTGTTTTTACTTATGGGCGCCATATCAGATTTTTGCATTTTTGAAGTCTCTTTTGTATGATTACAATGATGTATCACATGATAAAATCGAATCTTTCCTGTTGATCAAAATTGTAAAAAAACATTTTTGCGAAGAGTGCTTTGGAAGGAACGCCAACAGTTTTGTTAGACAAACTGAATATTGACAGTTCAATTGAATATGCAAACAGAACTATTGAATCCTTTAGCTTATCCACATAACACAAGAAGGGTTGCCGAGTGTCTATCAGACATGTTCCCTGACAAGGTGATTTCCAACAACGGAGACATACGTTGGCCAGAGCGGTCACCTGATCTCTCTCCACTGGATCATTATTTATTGGGAACTATGGAAGATTTGATTTTCAAAACCGTACCGATCGATATTGATGAGCTGAAAAGAACCATAATCACCACCTTCAGGACTAAGATAAGAAGACGGGACATTTGAGTTTTTTTCTGCAACCGACACAAAAGTCGTCCATTTTGATACCAAAATTAGCTCTTAAATTGACGTTTCTATTACTGACACAAAAATAGGTAAATATTTTTGGGCGAATAGAGAAAAATCAAGAAAGTAAGTGATTCTGAAGTCCATAATTTCCATATTGAAGGAAAAAACCAGTATAGCATGTCTCATTTCAAACGGCCCCCCTCTATATCTCAGCTATCAGTGGTGCCATCTTTACCAAATTTGTATCGGTATGAATAATCAATATGACCAGTTCTTCAAGACAAACATCATTTTAGACAGTGCCGTGCATTTTCATTGAAATGAATATGGGTAAGTTTTTTATTATATCATATTAGGCATTTTTTCACAGGAAAACTGACCTCATAATATTGTTCTTCATAATTTCAAATCCACATATCACAATCCACAAATAAGTCACTATTTATTCTGGACTGAAAATGAAAAAAGGAAGGCAATCCTGTTAATTCGGAATTAGGTGATTTTTTGCATATGGAGGTTTAAAAGCATGAGGAACCATAATATGAGGTTGGATTTCCTGTAAAAAAATTCCTAATATGATTTTATGAAAAATCGACCCATTTTTACTTCAATAAAAACGCACGGCACTGTCCAAAATAGTGTGCATCTCTGTAAAACTGATCATATTGATGGTTATTCATACCACACCAAATTTGGTTGGAATCGCATGACTTATGGGTTGCGTGCAAGAACTGTCAGATGACCGACACTGGAGGCAAAATATTGAAACACAACGTCACTTTTCTTATTTGTTTACAAGTGATGGAAATAGTTTTTCACAATTATTTTGGCATACGAATCGTATTTTTTCGCTATTCATCAATTCGCTTATACCATCATATTATGATGTTGTGAAATGCACAAAAACTGCAGCGGAAGACGACTGGTACTGGTACTGGTACTGGTGGGGGACGTTTCCACGTCAGCAACTAGTCCCCAATGGGACCTTTTTGCCAACCCCAAGTGTTTTCAATGACTGATGTGGTTCGCTCAAGAGAGCTGGCTAACATCCTTTTCAGGCACCGCCCATCAGCTCTCTTTTCAGAGTTTTTCAGCTGTGTTTTGTAGGCTAGTAATGTACTCACTACCATATGCGCAGTGGCAGGCCTGCTAACTATCATCGTTAACCCCCGAGACCGAGGTCTACTTAAGCAGCTGGCCCGCTCTCACGCTCAGCTGGTAGTTTTTCCACACCCACCTACATACACCGTCCTACTTCTTCTCTGATGCTCACAACCACATCATCATATCTTTCTGCGTGTTCTGTGTAGGCTTTGTTACTAACTCCATGCGCCACTTTAGGAGCAGCACTGTTAATTGGAACGCAACAGCGAATCGTGCAGGACTATCCCCAGCCGATGCTCTGAAACTTTACAATATTTAATTCGTAAATTAAATATTGAAAAAAGTTCCTTGCCCGTGCTGGAAATCGAACCCACGACCTTGCGGTCGTGAGACGGACGCTCTTCCACTGCGCCAATCCCAGCAGCGGAAGACGAAGTATTCCGGTTGGTATATCATGATTTAAAAGTGAGTACCTACTATAGTCACTCACATATAGTTTTTATATTTGAAATTTGGTAATTTCTCTGATTTCTCATCGGAATTCCTTGATTCCTTCTGCGATAGGAGCTAATAGAAATACACCTGAAATTTCTAAAATAATGCAAGAATATTGGATTCATGCAGTCTATCAGGAGAACTGGTCTGACATGCTGACGATCGTGTGTGTTGTAGACATTTTCAATCTATTAGCAGTATTAGCTTGTATTGCAGAAGTGGCAGAAGGCAGAAGGAATTTTCATAAGGAATGACAACATTTCATAATGATGACTATGTGAGATTACTATTTACCTGAAAAATCATATTCCTTAGTCTCTTGCTGCATTTTTGTGCATTGTACAACAGCACAATGCGAAGGCATGCTCGAATTAAAGAATAGCGCAGAAAACACGATTCGTATGCCAAAATATTGTGAAAAACTATTTCAATCCTTTGATTCCTCTGTAACCAAATGAAAAAGTCAGGTTGTGTTTCAATAATTCACAGAATAATAAGGTTGTGTTTCAATATTTTGCCTCCAGGGTCTGTCATCGTGCACGCGACCTATAACTGATATATAGAGGGAGGGGTGAAATCACGATTCAATTGAAAACATCAGATTTTGCTATTATTTTTTCAAATCCTGATTTTTTGCAACTCTGTCTATAACTCACCCGAGGACCTCGACCCGCCACTGCCCTCTCGAGGCGTCTGCGTGTTCGCCGAACGCGCGTTCGCCGAGCGCGACCTCGCGCCGCGCAGCAGCTCCGCCAGCGGCGCGCGGTGACCTTCGGGCGTGCCGCGCGACGCCCCGCCCTCGCCACGCCCCTCGCCTCCTCGCCCCGTCTTCAGCACGATGCGCTCGATCTCCTGGTTCAGCCCCTCCACGCTGCTGCGCATCGACGGTTTGGGCAGCGGCTGGGCGGGCACGTTGATGGCCGACGGCTTGAAGGTCGGCGAAAGGATGAACGCTGGAAGCAAGACAATGGTCCAAACCACTTGCAATCGGTGAATAATGATTTACATTTGGTGCGCAATCGATATTATAAGTTTTTTTTTATGTGAAGGGAACTAAGGTAGGAATTGGGGTTTCTCTTGAATTTCTGGAGGTTACATGCTTCGGGGAACATCTCCCTTAGCAATGTGTTCCAGAGCCTCGCTGTTCGTTGGATGAACGAGTCTTTGGAAAGAGATGTTCTGCAGGTCTCCAAAGTAACCACGAAGGGGTGCGAAGCCTCAACCAAGGAAGGAACAATTGTTGATATTTCAGAAGAGCATCGTCCATGAAAATATCTATAAAATAGAGCCAGATCGCCAACTTTTCTACGGTGTTCCAGAGAAGTGAGTGCATTTGTGAGCGAGGCATCACCCACGAGACGAATGGTCCTTTTTTGGACAGAATTAAACAGTTTCAGGATATGTTTTGGTGCTGCACTCCAAATATGGGAACAGTATTCCAGACCCGAAACAGAAAACCAAGTTTTTGGGATGCACTTTTAGCATTTAAGCTCACGTGATTTTCCAAGAAAGGTTATTGCTGATAGGAATACCAAGCTTCGAAATGGATGTCTTCAAAGGTATAGTTACTTCTGACAAACTTATGTTGGGCACAGTGAGATCGGCTTTTCTAGAGAAAAGGCATGCTTGTGTTTTGTTTGCATTGAAATCTACGAAGTTATTGGATCCCCATTCGAGAAATGTTGCCAAGTCCATATTTATGTTGTCAACATTTCTCCCTCGATCGTTTCTGATATGCCTTACTGGTATTTGAGCTCTGGAAGAGAAGGCGGTATGGAGGGTACTATCGTCCGCGCAGCTGTGTACTGGACAAGAAGTTGCTTCCAACAAATCGTTGATATGGAGTAGAAATAGTGTTGGTGCTAGAATTGTTCCTTGCAGAACACCAGGATTTATGATGAGAGAGTCAGATGAAACTCCGTCAACCGCTACATGGGGAGACCTGTTTGAGAGAAAACTAGGCTAGCAGAGAACATAGCTGGGGAGGCAAGTCAAAAGGTGGAAGCTTGGCGAGGAGTCCGTGGTGCCAACTTGATCGAATGCCTTGGAGATATCAAGTGCCACGGCTAAGGTTCCACCATATTTTTTAATAGATTGCTGCCATATATGTGAGACGTAAGCGAGCAGGTCACCAGTTGATTTGAGATATAGAGATTTGAAGTTGCTTGTCAATGATTAATTTCTGTATTAGTCCTTTTAGTTTTCTTTGTATGAGGGACTTTCAAACTTAGTAAAGACTTGGTTCATTACCGCACCGGAAAATATGAGCTTTCAACAATATTATAGATTCAGACACAAGACACACTGAGTCATCTCCTCTCAGAGACTTCTACCATTAATATTATAGATGGACTATCTCAATACATCACTATTATGGACTTGGTCCACTTCAGCTTTGAACCCCTCAATTGATGATGAAGGCTCTAGTGGCAGATTGGTGAAACTTTTTAGTCCATAGACTTATTATCCTGAGCTGTATGATACACTACACTCAATGAGAAGCATTAATTGTTTTATCTGCTCACTGAAATGAGAGTATGCGTTTGCTGCCTCATCCAAGGTAACAAAATTACGTGTATGAGAAAAAAAAAACATTAGGGCATAGATAAACTACACATTAAGAGTTGAAGTGCTTCCTTGGACTCGTAACGTAAACGGTGAAATTGACAGCTACGCATGCGCATTTCTCAATTCTTCACATTTGTCTTGCTATTGGGTATTAGGCTTACGGGTGTAACTTATCCTATTTTATTTATATTTTCACGTATACCTTGTAATATCAATGTATGTACGTTAGAGATGAATCAAAATTATCAAAATCAGGGTGTCCAAAGAGATATGCACCGAAGATTCCTATAATTTCAACATGAATAAATGATCAGATCTTAACAAACAATAAAAACTGCCCAAAACAAACCGAAAACAAAATTTATAATTTTGTTACAATAACACTGATGACTTCAACACAATTTATAAAGACAATTCACAATTCGTCAACATTGTTTTTCGAACATTATCGTCTGAGTCATGGAGGTCTACGTAAACAGGGAGTACTTAAAACGAGAAAGTAAACAGAACGGTTTATGGAGTCGTCACAGAACAGGAATTCCGACTCATCGATTCACGTTTGAAGCACAGAATTACTATATGAACCGTTTGAGATAGTGGCTTACGAAAAGTAACCGAAAATGAATGAAAGGTACCGACGAACATTCACTACCCGATGGTTAAAGCTGATAATTCTATTTCATTAGTTTAGCCGAGAGGTCGTTTCCATTTGGGTACAACTCCCCTACCTGTTAATGTGAGGAGGGTGAAACCTCCCAAACATAGGAAGAGCCAACCGCCGTCACGGAAAAATTATCCTAGCAAGTCAAAATCTGGAAAATCATCATCGGGTTTCCGAACGAAGAGAGGTAACGCCCGAGGTAACGTCTCGTTAACCTCGAAAACGAATGTCCTTGCCTTGTCAGAGGGACCTGAGAAACCAGCTGGTTTTGTAGTGACAGAAGGTGTCAAATCCTCGTCAACAGAGCCAACCCAAGCCTCGACCTCTGGGGAGACAGGAAGTGGCGTCGTTAATGCCCCTCCATCTGGTCCTACCTCAGAGGCGTGAGCAGCAACAGGTTTGAATGAATTGTATGAACCCACTCAATATTAAAAATCAAGAGGGGGTGAAAGAACTTACAGGCACAACTCCACCACATAAACAATTTATTAATTACCAACGGTCATGGACATCCTTCATTATCAGCAAAATAAAAAGGAAATGTATAAGAAGAAACAACGCTCATATTAGTTTGTATTGTTACAAAATCTGAATATACCTACCATTATTGGTGGAAAAAAATTACTTGAATGACATGAGAAAACTAATTTTAACCGTGCATAGTGCGGGTGGGTAACTGTTAGGGAACAGACATTATTACAGCTCTGTAAGAGCCTAGTTTTAAAAAATTGTTTGATATGGAGCGAATATTACAATGAACCAACATGTGGGACTGAATTTGTTGAATTAGGTTAACTAATCACAAATAACAATCGACCAATGATAATTTACAATAATGACGCTGAGGACAAAACACAACATCAGAATGACACCAGTCAAGTCAAAACCAAGGAATGTTTTGATTCAAAGTGACATAAAACACAGAACTAAAATAATGAGTTGAATAATTCAAGACTATTGAATTGAGTTTGTTCATTGAGGCAGTTGAGGTTAAGAATTGTTGACAGCTTTATTGATTTCCAAGGTTTCAAGGAGGTTAAGCTTTTTTATATCACCTCCACTGTAAGTTAAACTCGGACAAACAATCATCAAAATTGTGTGGTAGACACGAATCTTGAATATTCATAGATTACCAACAGTTACTATGGGATTCAACAACCGACACTCAAATCGTAATATGTAATCCACAGTCAGCGATGGAACTCGTAGTGCTGTTACTGCAATAGAGATGTTGCCGCACGCAGTCAAAAATTGTAATATTTCCGTGAATACCATATCATCATTTTGTAAATGAATGAAATTATAATAAATTCAAATAGGAAGTTATAATTCAGGTATAAATAAATTTGAAAGTATGAATGAAAATTTCAGCGGTAGATATTTAGACCCTGCGTAGTGCGGTAATTCACACTATGAAAACGGTAGATCCAGTTCAAAATCGGTAGACCTGGCAACACTGGCCACCACAGTGAAATAACCGCTATCACTCGGAAATTGACGACGTTGCCAAATGCCTTATATGTAACGATTCGATAAACAATCTGTATGTTATATGGGTTAATTTCAATATTTCAATAAGAACAATTTCAATTACTTACATGCTAAAGTTTGTGAACTACTATTCAGAGTATTCTCTCCTGGAGAGCCATGCCTTCCTCCTGAATCTTTAGAACCTCTAATAACTGGCCTAATAGGTAATTTTTCCAATTTTTCACTATTTTCAGATATGCTCTGCACTATCACTTCATCCAAATTATCTGATTCATCAGTCTAAAACACAAAGACACAAAAAAACTCAAGACATATACTTAACGGGTGTTCTTGATAAATTTTTTAAATTGAAGTACCTACCTAACTTTCAAGCTTGAAAGTAAGAATAAAAAAAATGAATTCCATATTTTTCTTCCACCGTTTGATTCCTCCATCTTTTTTCTACATAAATGGTATACTTTATTTTAATCGATATCTCGTACCATTCTAGAGAACATCGCATTTTAAAACATATATTCCAACCGTTTCAGAGGCAATAAAAGCTTCATTTATCTATTTAATGACATCAATGAAGACAAAAAGATTACCAAAAATGGTTTTCAATATGTGCGTCTTGAACTTTAGATCATGTTCTAAAGTTGTCTAATATCTGCGTTGTACTCGAGATAACGTGATGATGATCATTTCTTACGGCGTGTGCAGATGTAAGAATTCGATTCAGAAGCTCATCCCTAATATTTACAGGTGTTGTATAGGGTAAACATTCAAGAGATTCTCAGAGAAATAAATCACGTAGATTAAGATCAGGTGACCGAGGTGGCCATCACCTCAAATATTCAAAAGAACCTTGCAAAAAAGTTGAATATTTATTTTTATTTGAAGTGTCATTGATGATATAAGATCCATAATTGAGCAGTTGCCAATTAGTTCTATCCATACATTGATAATAAATGGAGTTTCATCACCTTTGAAACGGTTGGGATGTAATTTTTTAAATGCGATTTACTCAAGATCGGTGCAAGATATCGATTGAAATGTGGTATACCATTTTTGTAGAAAAAAGATGAAGGGATCAAACAGTGCAAGCAAAATGTCGAATTTGTCACCTCTGTCAAAAATGCGAGCAAAAATTTTCATTGAACAGAAAAAATTCGTCACATCCTGTATAAAACATAATCACTGAGAAGCCGTTTGAGTATGGAAGGGTGCATTAGTATGAGTTCATTTACCTGCTTGAATATTATTGATACCATGGCAACATTTTTTTTTATTTATATGAAGTATTCAGATTATTTTGGCTGAATCTATCAGCCCTATCATTTACGACATGACCTTGCCGGACACTCTGTATACAGATCCTTGAGGAATTCCCGTTTTAATATTTAATAGCTCCCTTTTGGTCTTATCCATTATAACAAATTGCTTTTTAGTGGTCAAATATGAAGTACATTTATATTCCCTCCTATGTGCATTTAATCTAGCTTATGCATTGAAGTTTTATGATCCACTACATCCGAAGCCTTCTTCAGATCTATAAATAATGTAGCAGTAAACATTTCAATCAAGATTTTCATTGACATAATTCACAAAATCAGTTGCCACACACAGTGTGATAAGTATTTTTTATAAAGCCATAATTGTTTGTATAGATCGAATCTGTCACATACCTGAAAAAATTTGATGATTCTAGTTTCAATCATTATCTCCAATATTTTAGCAAAAGTTGCAGATAACATTAATTGGTTTATAATTACTCATTTCATGTATGTATACGTCCAGTTTTTTGAATAGAACTGACCTTACTGATCTTTAGCACATCTGGAAAACGCCCACGTTGCATTTTCTTATTTGCCAGTCTAATGATGATTGGTGCAACAGAAGGTTTTAATAATTTCAGATCACTAACAGTTCTATCATGATATCCCAAGTGATATTCTGATGCAGCATTTGGCTAGAGTGTTGATGATATATTTCCTATTTTCTTTCTCTATTTGTAGATTCTCATTTATTTCAGTTCCAATTTCACAAAAGTATTTGTTGAATTCATTTACAATTGGTTCCCTATCTGTAATAATCTGGTAGTTCAATGATGTACATTATACATTTTGTCATTTATTTCCCTTAACCTTAAGAAAACTATTCATGTAATGGGGTTTGTATACAGTATGTCCGTTAAATTAGGTCCTCTATTGAAGTGGATTTTATTTTTATTCAGGCATCCTTTTGAATTCAACTAATACACTATTACAAACAGAATTATTGGTGTATAGAAAAAATTACATCATTGGTATTTTTTGTTTGCAACCCCAAAAATCGACGTTGTCTTCAAAATTGCCTATTCTGGAATAAATAAATTTATTCCATAATTTTGCCTTGTGGCACTATTGCCTCTTTGTCACACTTAATACTCAGGCAGAAAATTCAACATTGTAAAAATAGGCAACCATGAATTCAACACAATTTTTGATTAGGTAACCTAATGCAGTTGGATTATGAATAGAAGAAGCTTTCATTTGAGCCATATTCTGATTAAATAACTCATGAGGGTATATAAATTACACTAACTTACCTGTTCATACCTAGCAACCCCATAGCTGTGCCTTATTTTTCTCAATTCCCCAGGGTATTCTGTCAGCTAACTTTTGACTTTCATAAATAACAAATGAGGGAAGTTCATCACGATAATGTAATTAAACATGATATTATTTAACATCATCAGCACTTGATTAGCTAGGCAACCAATTAGCAATGAATCAATTCATTATTTAACATTTATTTTTCATCATCATTAAATAACCCAGTAAACATCAGATGGGGGTATAAATTTCTTATACCCTATATCCTCATTTACATACCTCATTTTTCATTACATCATGATAGCTACCACCTGTGTAGTGTTGTCAATCAAATTTTAAAACAGCCAGTATATAGAGTTTTTGTAAAAAAACTCATGTATTCATCTATCACATGAGTAGAAGTAGTAGGTGATTCATTTTCACACTTCTAATGGTAATGATCCAACAATAAAATTTACTCTAGGAATTCATTAGGAATAAATAAGACTCACTTGAGTGGCTTTATCAATTTGTAGGGTTCCCAGATGCCAGTAGAATAGATCCCTTGGCCAATGTCCTTTCAAGTAAATAGTGTCTAAAGATGCTGTTCTCCTTATGGAACCACATTCCAAAGTCTTTGATGTACCTGAGAAAAAAGTACATCTACTTTCTTGGAATCTGCTTGATTATTATTTCATTATGAAAATTTTGATGAATAGGTAACAAAATAAAGTATTGGAGTTTGCCCATTTCATGAAATAATTAGGAAACTATATTTATGAAATTACTATAGGAGCCAACTCAGAAACCATCAAGGAGGGATACTTACTTTGGAATCCAAGAAATTCAACTAGTGACATGTGTTTCAAATAGGCAGGTACTCAAACAACAACAAAGCATATGCTTTTCTTGTTGAAAATGTCATCAAACATTCTATAGGTACTGTGCCAATTGACCATTCATAAATAGTAATGATCTCATGCATTGATCAAAAATAGAAAATTAATCACATATTCAGTAAACTATAAACAATATTAGCATTGTATGCCTACCAGGAATGATTTGAGTTCATACCTTTACATGAAGACCCAGGACTTCTCTGTCCTGATGACTGCTCTGGAGATATTCGATTTTTACACAAGTAGGTAGGTGAAACTGTAGCACTACTGCTGGATTTCAAATTAGTATTTTGTTTCATTACTGAAGACATTGGAATAGTTGCCTTCAGGGGTCCTTGTTTTTGCAAATTGGGAGAGGATTTCTGCATTCTGCACGGGGTACCTTGTCCAGACATGTTGAGGAGATATTGTATTGAAAATACTTCACAATTCCACAATGATAGCTATTAGTATGTTGTGAGCACGTTTTGAGTCAATTTTTCTTTGGTTTCATTTTCTGAGAGCCTGTTCAAGTCTTCAAGGTAGTGTATAGGTGCACTGAAATATTTTCGTCTATGCTGTGATGTGATGTTGGTTATAGGGAAACTACACAAAGAAAATAAGAATATTTATTCACCATACGTTCACTGCAACAAATGGAAGAAACATTTAAGTACGGTGTATTATATACGAACCGTACAGGAAAATAGAACAATAAAGTTTTTGTTCCTGCTGTTTTTAATACCCAAAAATCAAATATCAAAAATATCAAAATATGTCTTGTCAAAAACAGCTGACTTTTTCATGACATGATACATGATGACCTTGATGATGACACAGAACGACAGAAAACTGTGTTGAACTGCACTGGAACAGCCGAGGGCAGTACTGACATTGCACTGCCACCACACTTTCATTTGACTATACAGGGTGTTTTCAAAGGCATCTTTTCATCATCATTTCAACAAGATGTAGAAATCAAAATAACCCAATTCATCAAAACACCTATGAAAAAGTTGCAAAATAACGAAGACATAAACATACTCTAGTGATTTTATAACAACTCTCTAGGACATAATTGTATGTATACTCTATATATATACATACAGTATGATGCAAATGTATGGAATAAATTCATTATTTCAGAAATGGGCGACATTTGGAAAAATTCCAAAAACACGTGAGTTTTAATTTCTGAAGCCTCATCTCATGATATTCATATGAGAGATGTTACGTCACCGGTGTTGGAGTAATAAAGACGTATAATGGACGATTTTTTCAAATAAAAATAGGGGTCATGTGACACCTTGATTGAAAGGTCTACCGATCGTCTATTCATGCAACAGTCAAAATGTTGCATAAGATTGAAATTAAAATGGACTATCATGTGATTAATTGAATCTTGCAGAGGTCTGCTACTGAGAATTGAAAAAATACGCCGAAAAAAAAGTTCTAAACTCTAGTTTTTGGTTTTTTTTCGAAAGTCGTCTTGTTTTGAAATGAATTTATTCCATACATTTGCATCATACTATATACGGTCTTCATGACGGGTTCGATTTCTCGAGAAACAGCGGGTTATTGATATTGTATAGGTAGAGAAATACATTGTTTTTCTACAATGAATCAAATAAATAAATTACATAGAAAATGGTAGAAATACCACAATGTCGATACATTGTGGTATTTCTACTAGTATAGACTTATCAAACTAATATAACATCCATCAGTGACTCTAGTATAGCTAGACTATAACCAATTTTCTATCTGTCGTATAGGGAAGTGAAAAATATCATTAGAAATGATTATATGCATAAATCGCTAAAACACAACTCGGAATGAAAGATGACTTGATATTTTTCTGGTCATTCATGTGCAATAAGAAAAAACATAGTAATACGACTCCAATGAGAAATGTTCCATGAAAATACGAGAGCAACTATATATATAAATAATATGAGGAAATTTGCAACTTATTTTCTGATTTCTTCTCAAGTGTCTATATATGATTCAAGAGCAGAAATTACCAATATAGAATATAAATAATTCTCAAACTATCATAATAAATAACATAACCAATTTATGAGCAAATAAAATATTATGCAATTTATTGATAAGCTCGATATCAGAAAAGGACCTGGACCTGATAAAATTCCTGCTCTTTTCATAAAATCTCGTTGCGAAAGTCTGTTCGAACTATTGTTAATTATTTATAATAAATGTCTACACACATTGGGTATTTTCCAAAAGTTTGGAAACGTGCTCAAACTGTTTCAATATAGAAGTCAGGGAGTAAAAATAAAAGTTGGAAACTATAGAACAATTTCTCTTATCGACCATTTTGTTAAAATTTCAGTCTATAATTACACAAGAACTATTATTATTTCTCGTAAAAACTCTTTTTGATATTATTCATCAACATGGTTTCTTCAAAAAACGCTCGGTAAGAACAAACCATAGAAAAACATTCTAAGAAGTACGCCCTCTCTGTCGTCCTGAATAGAACTAACGTATGGGCCATGAAATACTTTGTCTAACTTTGTTCAAATTAGTTTACATGTGTTCCATTTGAGAAGTTATTGAATAAATTTGTTTGAAAATATTCAACACGTTGAAAATATAGCATAATACCGCCTGTAAACAAATATAAACAATCCAGGAATGGCCCATAGAGTAGTACCAGTTTCACCGTTTTGGCGCTGCGATCTTAATCTCAGTCGCCTGATTTTTCTAAGGCCTTCGATAGAGTTCATCACACAAATCTCATCGTAAGGCTCGAAATCTTCGGTGTGCACGGGCACTATTGTAACTGGTCTCATCCTACATATCTGGAAGAACTCAATATGTGGCCATAAACAATGTCAACTCTACAAAAAAAGATGTCACCTTCGGGGTCACATTTGGGTCCCTTATTACTCAGCATCTTCTTGAATGAAATAGGAAGATGTTTTCGTTTCAGTAAATATTGTATCTTCGCAGATGATTTGAAGATATACAAATAGATCAAGTGTGACCGTGACTATGAGCTACTGCAGGATGACATCACTGATTTTTCAGAGTTTTGTATCAGACACAATTACAGTCGAACTTAAAAAAAAATCTTCTTGAGTGTGAGTTTTATTTAACTGTCTTCTTTATTTTGTCAAATATATTTATATATTCGTTGTTTCTTGGGAATAATAAAGTTAATTGATTGATTGATACAGGAAAAACTAAAAATACTTCTCTTTTCTCATGCTGTGCACATTGTAGATAACGTTTCCACGCTTTTCCAAGTGGACACCCGGTAGATTCGCATCTTACACAATTCCTCCGATGCCTAATTCTTACCTTGACCACCTTCCGCAGATTGTCACTATGTCCACTTGTTATAGATTCCAACCATACCCAATTCTTAGGATGCCTCATTCTCATCTTCCCGAGAATCTATTGAAAGTGGGAAGAGTGAGAATCCAAGGAGGTGAATCTGGTAATCTGGTATCCAGGAGAGAGAACCTTGCGACTTTTCGGTTTTTCTTATAACCTAACATCGCTGAGCTCTTCTTCAATATTCGTAATCGACGACGACCCTTCTCCTGACATGTGGTTGATATTCAAGAAAAATAAATCAGACACAATTTTGTATTGAAATGTGATTTAATTCATTTATGTACAATAAATAACGGCTATACAAAAATACATACTAATGACTAGACAAAGATAAAAAAAATTAAATAACAATACCTATTATACAATGATTAAGTACACTTTCATTATTCTGAAAATGAACAAAATTTGAAGAATGCAAACCATGGCAAATGTACAGAGATAATCTTCAAGTGCAATCTCTGGTTGAAAGCTTATAAGCATTTTAAAACTTCTTAACGCCGATTAATTGGACTTATTTTCGAAGAAACCTATATGTTAGCAATCAAGAAACTAGATTACACTTAATATCTTAGGAAGGTGAATTTCAGGCGAGCAATTTGAGATATGACATTATAGCGGTCTTGATATTAGTTGCCAGTAGAAATATTACCTATCTGACAGCTATCAACGACTCTCAATGACATCAAATAAGTGAAGATTTCAGGTGAAAAAAAAAAAGAATTAGGGAATAAGAGCTTGTAGTGGAAAAACCGCGGTTCTCGCCCCATTTCTTTATTTTCTACCATGCTGAAGCATCTCGGGAACTAATACAACTTGGCTCATGGTGGAAATATATAGTATGGTATGATACTCACGAGTCCAATATTCACGTATTCTGCGCATGACGTCACTGCGAGATTGTCACTGTCATCATTAATTATTTAATTTTTTATTTTTAACATCATAAAAATGCCTAATTGTGCCATTTCTGGTTCCTCAAATACAAATAGAAGCACTAGGGGGGCTAACATATCATTTTTCCGGTTCCCGAAAATCTATCACGCGTCCTAGCAATAGCAATAGATAAAAGCTTGCTGTCGAGATGACATCAATTCAAAGAATGGTTGGTATAATATTATAACCCCTCCTACCATTCCAAAATGTTCACTATCAGCAAAATGCAACAAAACTGTTCACGGAAATTCAAAATACTATGGTACGGATATATGCCGTCCTTCGGAGGGGATGTTAAGCCGGCGGTGCCGAGGCCATGGATGTTGGACTCGTTGAAGATCCCTACCTCTGGTTGAAACACCAGATGATTCGGCAAAAATTCTGGTTGGAGTTATTGTGCTCACCGGCGTCGGTAATTAGCCTCAGTAGCAGAAAAATGCCTATGTTAAAGAAACAAGGAAGAAAAAGAAATTCAAAATACCGCTGTCGAACAGCGAGACATGGACGGTGTCAATAGAGATGTCTGTCAATATTGAGACAGAGGCGGACATCCGCTGACCAACTGTTTTACTCGCAGTAACGTCCACAAAGATGCGGGGTAGCACAACATACTATATTTCCACCATGGCTTGGCTTATAAACATATTTGACTTGGAGTGTTTGCTTTTACATTATCTTCTGTACCTTGGTAACATTTACTATTTACCAGTATCCTCGCTATTACAATGGTTTATATCTAACAGTAATATAAGAATTCCAAGACTAATGCGAATGATATGGTATTCTAAAAACCTTGTGTTTCGTAATTTATGATAAAGTTTCACTGATTATTCCCATAATTTGAAAATACACATTTTTGGTTGGTTGAAATAATTGTGAGGATAATGGAAAACATTATGTTCTCGTTCTCGTATTTTGCTGAAGAAATAATGATTTTAGGGCACCGAGATTCTATTTTGAAGTTGCAAATATCTGCATTACTCTTCAAGATATTGAATGTTAAAACCAAAAAATCAATAGTATTGAAAGCGTGAAGTCTATATAGTAGGTTGGTCTGCCTCGTAGAACATATGGTACAGTAATTATAATTCTTAAGGGGCGAGTCATGGGTCTCCTCTGATGACTCGGTAGGGTGCCCCAGTCTAACAATAATAGAAATGCACTACTACACTCAACTGTAAAATGTAATATTTATATTAGTTTCTCAGTTTCCACAGATGACGTTTCCTCATTAAATTACTAGGTAACGTAATAGTAGAAACTCATTGCAAATACCATTAGGAAAACCGAGTGCAATGTCAGTGCATCAGTCAAATTGACAAAATGACCGGTTCCTTGTAAATAATTCTGGAAAATCCCTTATATAACCTCAATTCATTGTTGCTTTCATCATCATCCTCCAGCTGTGATGACATGAAAAGTGTATCAATTCATAGAATGAAAACCTGCGGAAATGGAGAGGTGATTGAAGGTTTGTTCAATATTTATGTGCCCCAGTCGAACTATAATAAAAATGCACTACTACACTCAACTGTGAAATGGTGATATTTATATTAGTTTTCAGTTTCCACAGATGACATTTACTCATTAAATTACTAGGTAACAAATAGTAGAAACTCACAGCGAATACCATTTGGAAAACCGAGTGCAATATCAGTGCATCAGTCAAAAGGACCGGTTTATTATACACAATTCTGAAAAATCCCCTATAACCTCAATTTATTGTTGCTATCATCATCTTCCAGTTATGATGACATGAGGTGTATCAATTCATAAAATGGAAACCTGCGGAAATTTCGAATCTTTGTTCAATACTCATCATGTAAGTACCTATTTGCAACCTCTGTTAATTCGCAATTTCCAAAACATAATAGGAAGCAGACATAATGTGCTTGAAAATCAACGGATATTTTCAGGAATCCAACATTATATTTCCAAGATATAAAATAAATCATTATGATCAAATGCTTATCTACTGAGACAGACACATTTATTTTTTTGGATGATTGATCAATCTGTTTGTACCTTTACTGTTTATGTGATTATAAAAATTATATTACTGATATACAGGGTATTCCAAAAAAGGCGACCCCTTTGCTAGGGTGGGTAGAACACTGCAAAATAAGTTCGTATTGCTCAAGAAGAAATTGACGTAACGGCATCGGTTTTCAAGATACAAGGCGTTGAGAAAAATTTGATTTTCACATTTTGTATGGATATGTTCTAGAAGCTGACTCATCGCAAGAGTTTATTTCCATTTCGGACTCTCATAGAAGGCGCTAGTTATACAATGAACTCAATATGAACACCTGGAAGGGAGACTGCCTGTTTCTCGAATAGCACAGTGTGTCAGGGCCAGCTGCAACAAAGATAGCTTGTGTACGGTACGGTAACCTGTCTCTTTCACACTCGTGTTGTTTAAGGGCGGATTGGTGTATAAATTTGCTTTCATTTAATGATTGTAGTACTTGAGATCTTTTTTTTTTCATTTAAACATGCATAAAAGTTAAGACAGAACTCAATTTTTTCTTGTTATGTGAAATATCGCTAGATTTGGCGTGTTTTTTTTTTCTTCAAAAGGACTGAATTTGTTGATGTGAATTGATTAATGTTGTGAAGATTTGTGATTGCGAATTAATAAACAATGGTTATTTATATTGTGTTGCCTTTGGATGCAAAACAAACAGGACAAACAGAAATTGTCCTCCATGGGTAAGTTGAGAATAGTTAAGATTCTTAGGAAAACTATAGTAATTTTATTTTCAGGATGTGTCTGTGAATGTTCATAACTTGGATTCTAAGGACAATGTCTTCCATATGGACATTGATTTGCTCACAACTTCCAGCTCCCATGTAATTTTCAAAGTTGATTGATGATGAAACCCACAAACTGTTCCATTAGAGAAGGCACATTCTATTGCAAAGAAAAGTGAAAACACTGAAACAAGAAGTAAAAGGAAGAATACGAAAGAAGAGAAGATTTGTATTTCGTGCAAAATATACAAATCTTCCCTTCTTTGGTATATATTCACGTTCACACAGCCCAGCAACCCTCACTCAAAAGGAAGAATGACAATCTTGATGAGATACTAAAAAAACATTTTGAAGGTAAAAACTACAAGTTCAAATTTTTAAACTCAAGAGCTACATCATAATATTGTCTTTTCAGTTTTGCCTTTGGAGCTTCTAGTTCTCCAGAAAGGAAATAATGAAGGTGTACATACTGGGCGACGCAGATATTCATCTTTAATGAAATAATTCGTCCCGACATTGTACTTTTATTCACATTTTTATTCACATTCCATTCAGCTTCTAATATAAAAATGTTTATGGAGAAATAGGTACTAAATACTGTCTGTAGGTTAATCGAGCAGGTGGTACATTCATTTTACTTGGTTCTTTGGGATTTTCTCTCCTCGTTTCTATAAAATAAAAGTATTCGTATTATTTCAATATATTTGTAGAGGGACAAATCAGATGATTTGCCCCAAAATGTCACTGCGTTTAACAAATTTTTCTATCAGGGAGTCTAAAAGAAAAATCCAGTAGCTTGTCAGTGACAATTTGTTTGAAAAAATTTTTGAAGGAAAGAAATATAGATATATTGAAAAAATATCGAATTTGTACTTATCTTTGGACGTTTCGGGACCGATTCTGCTCCCGTTTTCAACATGTAAATGCAAATTATTTTTCTTTGAAATTTTTGCTGCGTATAGTTTGACACTTTTCAATGTCATACTGATGTTGGCATATGAATGAGTGATTTTAGTCTACAAATGAGTTACAGGATGTTTTCATTAATTGATCTTGAATCTACCATTTTCATGTTCAGTTTTCAGTAGTGAATACCATGTTCTATCAATATCAACTGAACAGGAAGCAATGCTATTGTCTCCATTTAGAAGAATGCAAGCGGATTCCTTTATTTTTCTTTTTTGTTTGTTATCTTCCTTTCCTATGATTTTGATATTATTCCACTGTGCCATATGTTGTCCATCTTCAGTGAGGATATGTTCAGTTAGCTTCGATTTATCGAAGCTAACATCAGTATGACATTGAAAAGTGTCAAACTATACGCAGCAAAAATTTCAAAGAAAAATAATTTGCATTTACATGTTGAGAACGGGAGCAGAATCGGTCCCGAAACGTCCAAAGATAAGTACAAATTCGATATTTTTTCAATATATCTATATTTCTTTCCTTCAAAAATTTTTTCAAACAAATTGTCACTGACAAGCTACTGGATTTTTCTTTTAGACTCCCTGATAGAAAAATTTGTTAAACGCAGTGACATTTTGGGGCAAATCATCTGATTTGTCCCTCTACAAATATATTGAAATAATACGAATACTTTTATTTTATAGAAACGAGGAGAGAAAATCCCAAAGAACCAAGTAAAATGAAATAGGTACTCTTAAAAATTAAGCCTAAAATAGACCATAGGTACTCGATACCATTCAAGAACCTGTTTTCAAATTTTTCTGTTTCTTCTGATAGTGCTGAGACATGGAGCTTTTGAATAAGAATATATACATTCAATTCCGTTATCATTTGCCTTCCTAATCCTGTAAGAATAAAAATGGAATTTGACTTTTGAGTCAATGAAAATGTTAATGATTATTTTCAAATAATAATTGATTGCAACATTATCCTTTTTCCTAAATGAATATTTATATTCATATAATCACGTATACCCTTGAATAAAAGTAGAAAACAAGAAAATATTTCAAATAATGCGAGCGCTTCCCATTAGCCAACATAAGATAGAAAGAGATAGGTATCCCTAACCACTGCGGGTTGCCTGAACAATATTTTTGCAACGAACTCAATATAAACACCTGGAAGGGACACTCTGTGAACTGCGAGTGAGGCAAAAATATTGTTCAGACATCCCTCAGTGGTTACGGATACCTATCTCTTTCTATCTTATGTTGGCTAATGGGAAGCGCTCGCATTATTTGTAATATTCAGCATTTTATGGTAACAAATGCTTAGGATATGAAAATATACTGAGTACAGCATCTAGTTTCAATAACCTAGCAATACCTGGTATGTCTAAATAAATAATCAGTTGGCAGGAAATGCTCTCCACAAAGCTTGCTGGTTTTAGATGGAGTCTAATTCTCTATACGAACTGCTTTATCCATAATTCAAAAATGTCTGGTCTTCTCAATGAAAAACTGCAACAAATAATATTACTTAATATGTTTTTGGAGAATCCATGTAAGTATTTAACTTTGACAAATAATATAGGTATAGTATTTGAACACATTCTGAGACTGGGAACTATATTTTCCAAAAATCTGAACAATACTCAACTTACCCATGGAATGACAATTTCCTTTTGTCTTGCTCATTCTTGCATCAAAGGCGACACAATAAATCACCATTGTTTATCAATATGAAATCACAAACCATCTCAACAATCAATTCACACCAACAAATTCAGTCTTTTTGATAAAACAAAACACGCCAAATGAAGAGATACTTCACATATTATAACCATCACATACCAAAGACAATGAACTTATGTCTTCACTTTCTTGCCGGTATAGATGAGAGAAAAAAATCTACTTCAATTATTAGATAAAAGGAAACGTAAACACCAATCCACCATTAAACAACACGAGTAGGAAAGAAACAGGTGACACACTTTGTGCTATTCGAGAGAACGGCCGTCTCCCTTCCAGGTGTTAATATTGAGTTCATTGTAGTTACACGGTTCGTACGTGGTTCGTACCGATTAATTTCAAGCATAACTTTTTTGAGGTTAGATTTTTTAAACTAAATTTCATGTGAAGTTGAACATAATTCAATTCAACACCAAAAAGCTCTTGATGAAACTCAATACTCTGTACCGTTTTCGGAATATTTTAATTTGGAAATAATTGAGTAATAGCTGAAATTGGTATAAAAAAAGTATCATTGAAATCAATTACCAATATTCATTCAAATTCAAAAACAATAACATTATACTTGTGCTGAACTTATTGATTGAACGAAGAATCACAAGGAGAAAATTGAGATAAATTTTACTGAAAACATAAAATATTGAATCAGTAAATCGAGTAAATCAAAATGTCCTCCGTTTCCATGAATACACTATTCTATATTTTTTTTCTTCAGAATGCATTATACCGGGTGACCCGGAACCAATTTACCCCCCTGTATCTTCGTTGTTATTTTGTATGGATGTTTCAAATTCGGTACTTCGATTTGATGTTATGAATGTACAATTTAGCAAGTATCAATCCAAATATGTCACTTCCGGTTTGACCGGAAGCGCATCCAATTTTATATATCGAATAGGAAGTATTATTTCTTTTTGAAAATTACAATTCGGTATAGAATTACCTTTACAATGACATATCACAATCATACTTTCAATTCACAATCTGCTGGTATAATTGACATTTTATAAAAAAAATACTTTTTGTGTTCCCCTCGTAACGGAACATTTTCATTTCCACAGCATACTTTCATGAAAATGTTCCGTTACGAGGGGAACACAAAAAGTATTTTTTTTCATAAAATGTCAATTATACCAGTAGATTGTGCATTGAAAGTATGATTGTGATATGTCATTGTAAAGGTAATTCTATTCCGAACTGTAATTTTCAAAAAAAAATAATACTTCCTATTCGAAATATAAAAATTGGATGCGCTTCCGGTCAAACCGGAAGTGACATATTTGGATTGATACTTGCTAAATTGTACATTCATAACATCAAATCGGAGTACCAAATTTGAAACATCCATACAAAATAACAACGAAGATACAGGGGGGTAAATTGGTTCCGGGTCACCCGGTATATGTGTCACCTTCCAAAATCCATACGAAATTTCATAACGATGTTGCCAGTAGTTTCGACATAAATATTGTTTTCGACACCTTGTATCTTCAAAACGGATGTACGTTATGACATTTTTTTACTGAGCAAACCCAACTCATTTTGCAGTGTTCTACCTCCCTAGCAAAAGGGTCACCTTCCTTTGAAAAACCCTGTATGGGGTTGCTGAAACCATCGTTCACAAAAAATAATTATAAATGGTTATTTTAATTTGACATTCCAACATTTGATTCAAAATTGTGACTACCATTGGGATTGCACCAGTGCAAAAATGATACAGTGTGCTAATGCAACACTAGTTCTTAGCCAGTGCAGCACTAGTTTTCCAATGGTATTAGCTATCATTCAACCCACAGTAAGAATAAAAAAGACAGACTAGAATAATTGCAATACCTATGCACTTAAGAGTAAAAATTGGATCCGCCTATAAAAACTCATTACAAAAGAAAGAGTCTTCAAAATAACTCATTATAAAAAAATATCAAAATAAGAGAGGGACTTAAAAAATATCATTATGTACAAACCTGAACTAAACACATTTTATTCGAACCGCAGGTTTTCCAGCATCAGTGTAAGTTCCCATCAGGCTTTTTCAATCACATAACGGCGAGATCTGAGTTGGAAGGAAAACCTTCTACCAGTACCTATATTTTTTGATACAGTTGTTTCCCAAATCGACTACGATGACATGGTTATCGCTGGTGACGGCCAGACCACTTGGCCGCTTCAGCTTCGCCTCGTACGAATCGATGCACTGATTGAGAGAGTTTTCCGTGAGAGACAGCAGCTGCACGTACGTTCTGCCCTTCTGTTCGGTCCTGGTCAGGAGGACTTTGTTGTCTGAGTCGACGGCTATACCGCCATATCTGCCTTTACCTATAAAATGATTTGTGAACAATAGACTAATTATTTTTTATTTCTCAGATAGAATCACCACTCAAATACCATTCGATTTCATATTTTTCAGTATTTTTTGGTCGATTTTTAGGCAATGAACTCAATACAAACACCTGGAAGGGAGACTGCGTTCTCTCGAATAGCACAAAGTGTGTCAGGGGCAGCTGCAACAAAGATAGCTTGTGTTACGGTAACCTGTCTCTTTCACACTCGTATTGTTTAATGGCGGATTGGTGTATACATTTTCTTTTATCCAATAATTGAAGTACTTGAGATCTTTTTTTTTTTTCCTGAACAGGCAAAAAAAGTGAAGACAGAACTTCATTGTTTTTTGTTATATGAAATACACGTGAAATATCGCTGAATTTGGCGTGTTTTGTTTCTTCAAGAGGACTGAATTTGTTGTGTATTGATTGTTGTTGAAGGTTTGTGATTTCGAATTGATTAACAATGGTTATTCATATTGTGTTGCCTTTGGATGCAAAACACGGAAGAAAAACATAAATTGTCCTTCATGGGTAAGTTGAAAATTGTTCAGATCGATTCTTAAAAAAACTATAGTAATATATTTTCAGGATGTGTCTGTGGACGTATGTTTGGATGTTCATATTCATAACTTGAATTCTAAGGACGATATTTTTCATATGGACATTGGTTTGCCTCTACAACTTCCAGTTCCCATGTCCTCAAACTGTTCCATTCAAGAAGGGCTATTCTATTGCAAAGAAAAGTTCAAATGTTTAAACTCAAGAGCTACATCATAATATTGTCTTTTCAGGTTTGCCTTTGGAGCTTCTTCTTCTCCAGAAAGGAAAAAATTGAGGTGTACATTTTGGGCGACACAGTTATTCATCTTGATGAAACAATTCGTCCAATCATTGTTCTTTTATTCACCTTTTATTCACCTGTCATTCACATTTCAATGGTAACATGTTCATGAAAAAATAGGTACTCTCGAAAATTGGGCATGAAATAGACCTTAGGTACTCCAATTTTTTATTTCTGATCCTGTAAGAATACAAATGAAAATTCACTTTCAAGTGAATAAAAAATCAATAATAATTTGCAACATTATCCTTTTTCCTAAATGAATATTCATATTTAATCACCTAGTCTCAAATAAAAGCAAAAAAAGAGAAAATATTTCAGATAATGCGAGCGCTTCCCATTAGCCAACATAAGATAGAAAGAGATAGGTATATCACTGCGGGTTGCCTGAACAATATATTTGCCTCACTCGTCGTTCGCAGAGGGCCCCTTCCAGTTGTTTACATTAAGTTCAATGTTTTTAGGTTCTAAAATCATGAATAATGCCACGGTAATTTTCAAACGGACCATAGCACATGTGTCATGTGTTGAAATACGATTGGGAATTTCAGAAATATTAGTTAATCAAACGTTAATCAATTCTCAATTATGTATTGGTAATATTCCTATTCAGCAGTACAAAATCAATTGTCTCAAAATGTTCCCTTATGATTTGTGGCTTATTGCTTATAATACATTTGTGTAAATAGTAATTATATTGATTAATACTAGAGGGCATTTGAAGCGGTGAACGTGACAACACCGCGCGCACGATTTATGGGCGTGGCCTTGTCCTTTCTCAGCATTCAGCACAATGTTGCCAAGTTTCTAACATTTACATGCAATTTTGTTATGGAGTATTAGAAATATTTGGACATGCTGGTTGTTGGAAAGGGTCAAGAATGAACTATAATATTATGGGTTCCTCCTAGTATGTTTTATTCAACGACAGGAAGCTTGCTTCGTGAGTGGGAATGGAAGATTATATGACCAATTACGAAACAGCATAAAAGCTGACGTCACCATTCAATCGAAGTACCGCCAAATAGTGGCCATGACGGTACGTTTGAAATGAGCTCCGAAATTTAACAATTTCGAACAATGCATACACTCATTATTCACATAAAAATGTGTGAGGAGTGTTGCAAATATTGATTTAGGTCCCTAACGACGCAGTGTAGTAATTGAATGCCAATAATTAATAGTCCACTCGCCCATTGCTGTCCTTCCACCACTATTCTTTGAATCCACCAATACTCACTCTTTTTCGAGTCTTGAAGTGGTATTTCAGTACTGTAATGTATGGATAATCCGAACAGAAAGTTGGCAAAACCCGTTCGGTTTACAAAAACTTCCGGATTATAAAATACATTATGACTGATATCATTAATCTGAACACGCGAATGACTATCTTCCAGCTGACTTGGAATTACAGCAATTTTCAAGGGTTAATGTGACATGCCATTTTTATCGAATATGCACAATTTCAATGCAAATACATACAGCATACAAATCACGAAACAACTAAACAACATGGCGAAGTAAGACTAACTTACGGATTGAAGAACTCAAGGCACCAGAGTGTTCGGATTATGGATATCATTATTACGAAATGGAGTGTTCGGATTATAGAGCATTTAGGATTCCAGGGGGTTCAGAATATCCATATATTACTGTATTCAATAAGCGCACGCCATCTAGCCGAGTGTCTGAGAGATGTCAAAGCGGTTTGTTTACTCTGTTTCACATCCGGTTTTTGGTCATGGCAAATTTAAGTCATCATCTGACGTTCCAATGGCGTTTAGCAATCGGAAAAAAAATTTCAACTCCTGGGGTGCGTTTGAATACGTACTCTGTGGTGTAGTTTACTCATTTGCGTTCGAAATTTGTCAGATTGTGTATATTCTACTCTGTGACTGTCCTTAGAAATTACTAGAGTTTATGACGATAAGTAAACTCTTATAAGTTAACAAAATTGGTAGGTACATTTTACTTCACTGATTTGATACAGTTATTAAGATGAAGAGATTTTTTTACTTGTTGTAAGTTAGGTTATGTCCATTTGAAAGGTAGTTAATGATAATTCCATATTCTCAGAGAATTAACGACTGGTGAGTATCGTTTCAACAACATTAAAGATGGAGATGTGTGATGTGACTCTGTGGGTAGCATAACTTTCTGATGTTGAAAGAAATCATAAAACTTTCAGAAAGTGACACTGAGCTTCTATAAAGGTCGACAAATCTGGAAATGAAATATTCAAGTACAATTCAATTAGATGTTTATTGGGGTTCATTTTATCTGCCTTATAAAATCATCTGCTCCTTTATGAATCATTTTATGAAATGAACTGACCAAACAAAACTTGCAGCTTGACAAACATAACCCATATTATCAATGTCAATAAAGAAACTCAAAATCCAGTTGGAATACTACATGAAATAGTAATTAACTCAGAGTAAACTGACATAACCTTCAACTAACCTTACTCTAATGTGAGAGTCAATAATCGAACGCACCCCTAGTATAGACTGAAAGTCACATACATTTTTCCTACTGCCAAATGTACGGAGCTCTGTGAAGAAAATGTTTTGTGACCCTGAATCAGTATGGATCAGTAAGAACTCAACAATAATAGAATCGAATTTTCCACTGAAACAAAACCATTCTAGCTTAAATTTTTTCCTATATGTATATGAAGACGAAGTTTACCATCAAAATCAAATGCAACCACCCTTAGTGACCACATTTTATGTAAAAATCTGACATTGGCAAGTGAAACACCTCGTCACCACTTGAAAAGGAATAATCAATGGTACCTAATATCTAGAACTAGTGGTGAAAAGAAGAAAATAATTCAATTTTTACTCTAATTGCTAACCTTTTCCTTCATCGTAGACGACTTCCATAAAGTCTCCTTTGGCAGAGAACATTTGCACTCTTGTATCAGCAACTACGATCTCTCCAAGTGGCCCTACTGCTACTGAAGCAATCAAACTGAAGGTCCCCTTCTTGCCTACCTGCTCAAAAATGATGTTCTCAAACCACAGCTCAGAAGGATAATTACATTTAGCAATAACTACTGGAAAGAGACGTTCTTGTCTTTTTCCTAATGCAGGATTAATTATGGACTATGAAGTGTTAACTATTTCCACTCAAAGTTCTGAAAGTTAGTCATGAAGATGAAGAACTTCATGTTTCTCCTTTTCTTCTAAGGAGCAGAAAAGAGTGATGATCTGTTCCATACACTGACCTATTATAATAAACAATATCTAATGAAACATCAATGCTGGTTAAGTTTTACGCTAAATGGAACTCGGACATACCACGTGATCGTGGAAAAGTTGGCTGACGAGTATGCGAAGTGCGTATATCATACAGGGCCGACCTTGGATAATTTGAAACATTCCATATATCACTACGCATGACAAGAAACAATAAAAGCGGACATATTGATGAATTCCACAAGATCGATGATATATAACAGCAAAACATTAACAGAAATATACACTATGCACAATACTCCAAAAACAAAGAACGTAAAAATGGCTGACGGACGATCGATAATGAGATTAAGGAGAAGCCGGCTCTGATAAAATCTACGAGTATAGACATACGTACTAACAGAACTCCAAAACAAAGATTACATACATGCACTTCTGACGTTGATATACCGGGTGATACAGGAAATCCTGTATTTTTCAATCTTATTTGTCTTCAAAATCTCTAATCAACCATGTATCGTAAAGTCGCATTCGTTTGTTAATTCGCTGTTGAATTTCTTTTTATTCAAAAAGACAGAGTTGGCTGTGACATGAATTCGATGATATATAGATACTTGGTAGTCTTTGAAATTTAAAGATCATCAGTAAGCCGATCTTATTTCGAATTCTTCCATACTCTGATCAATCCCAAGCAGATTAACTTGTTTGAGTCAAGATAAAAACCTGCCTCAACCAACTATATCATACAAGAGTCTCGAGATCATACCCGTGTGTTCACCGAACACGCTCGATCGTTACCTAGCGGTGAGGAGACCGAGACGTAAGCAGGCAGTCATGATACAATGAGTGGGCAGGTAGCTTCTCTCATGCTGTCTTTGTTTTTGTAGTACGGGGTGGGCCACCAACAGTTTTCTTGATCACATTTCAACTTTTTTTTTTTTTCGAATAAATAAGAAACATTTGATAGGCATATCAAGTGATCTACTGCGATCTATCAGATAATGAAAGCGATGATTTGATTTGCAATAATTCGCTATGTCACGACGAGTCCTACATGTAAATAGCGAACCACTCATCGAAAATCATGAAACTATATGTACATATTATATGCTTATATTTTGTTGGCGAGGACGCTCGTTTTATTCAAATTACTTTCGATAATGTTCATCTGCTTCACTAGAAATTATTATTAGTAGTTATGTAGTACTTAGTAGTATAGTAGTAGCAGCTTTATTATTCAAAATGGAACACCTTATATTTTATTACATTTTTCCATTTTTCTAATTGAGCTAGAATGTGAAAAATCGAGATTTTTTTTGTATCGAAACTATACAATACCCATATTGATTTGTCAAAATGGCTTACATGTGTCCCTATTCTAACATTCTATTTACTATATCTACTGATGCCATTTAATTGAAACAAATACAGGGTGGATCAGATTTCAGAATTATATAAAAGAAGTACTAGTATGTCTACTAAAAAAATATATATATTTGAAATAAACAAAACAAATATATCACATAAAAAAACACACTCTAATATTCATCATAAAATAAAATTCAATCCCACTGGATGTATTTAAAAATATAAACAGTGTGCATGTCTCTTCTATAATAGAATATCAACCCGTATTTGTAACGTAACTGTTCAATTCTAAGGAGCGATAGATATATATATACCAACTATGACCAAAGTGAGGTAATTTTCAGTGAAAAACACTGCTCTGGTCATGGACCCACCAACATTTCCGGAAAATGATATTAGGAGGCAAGATAGGTTGAAAATCACTTCGGATTCGAAATCAGTACGTAACCCTGTACCTCGAAAACGAAGCAAGTTTAAGACACATGTTTATATGACCTTTATTCATCATATTATATCACAAGGAATCATCCCTTGAATTATTTCGGTGTTATTTAGATACACCCTGTATAGATCATTCTTCATCCCAATATAGTTATTCAACATTTTTCCCATAGCGAAGTTCAGCAAATACCGATGGCGAGAGCACTATGTTTATTGATTTGATGTCTACCTATAATATATGTAAAACAAGAAGACACAACTACTAGTGTTCCGTTTCGAAGTACATTAAATTGACAAATTTGACTCCAAAATAATTCAGGCACGCGCCAATATTCATAACGTAGTTACTGCTGCCCGTTTACGTTTCCCCACCGCTTAGGGAACGATCGGGCGTGTTCGGTGAACACACGGGTATGATCTCGAGACTCTAGTCTATATCATTGGTAGGTATTATCCTTCTATTTGTTGTCTATAGGTCAGAGGTTCCATGGCCAACTTCGAGTAGTTATCATAATACTTGGTTGTAATAGTAAGTCACTTAAGAACAGGCAGACAAATTTCGAATCAATAACAGACAACATTATCCCTCTCGCCTACCAACTAGGTTTTCGTTTAGAACCACAATGGTTGAAAAGAGGAATTGTTCTCACCTGGAACAGTATCTTTCCGTCGGCATCGAAGACGAACACGCAGCTCATGCCGCTGTCGGCCACCAGCACGTGGCCGTAGTTCCTGTCGGCCGCCACGTCGATGGGCTCCTGGAAGGCGTTGTACGTGAACGACCTGATCGTCTCGCCGTCCGTCGTCATCTCGGTGACGCGTTTGGTCCTCCAGTTCACCACCACCAGGCCGTCGTTCGAAATATCGATACCTAAAGGGAGAATTCGTTTTTTATTTCTTGTATTCTAGTAAATCTGCATTGCAGACATAGTGGAAGGAGAAGGTGGTATGCTGAACAGAAAGCTCAAACTCGTCTTGTTCTGCGCATGACGTCAGCTGGGATATTATAACTGTCATTCATATTATTTGTTTTCGTGATTGATGTCTCGAACTTCTGATATTATATAAGTACTAAAATTGAATGAAATTATTTCGACATGCCTACTTGTTTCGTTTCTGGTTATAGAAATTCCAACTAACATACAAAAGGCACAGATATTGAATTTTTCTGCTTTTCCAAGAATGGAGACCTAATGGAACGATGGGAGCTTGCTGCGGACAGAATATAAACTCAAATAATGGTACCTACCTTATATTCCTTATATCCTTATTCCAAAGTATTCACCTATCATATTATCATCACATTCATATTACAGCACGTATTTCTTAAAAACATTTCCATGCAAAATGTTTCCAAAAAAGTGCGAAAGTACGGTTCTTGAATTACACACCTCCAAAAAATCACAAATATTCGAAACTAGATGCCATTCCTACAGAACATCTTCCGAATATCAAGTCAGAAATAATTGAAAATGAAATCAAAACTCTCAATTTCTCACAAAATATAAATTGCAGCAAATATTTGAATAACTAAACGGCAAAAATTGATACTCCTGTTGTCGATGTCGGAGCAGAAGCAGCGTCAACGTCGTTAACTGCTGAATTTTAATCTGTCAGAATCGACACAGTAGTGGATCATTCAGATGGGATTGGCAATGCATGATAATTCGTATTTATTTGCTATTTGCGATTGCGAATTACCTCAAGATCAAAATTGCCAGAATCAATGAAATAGTAAAATCGAAGGAACCTGTTTATATAAGGTGAATTATTTCTAAACAGGTCGAGAAACTTATAGAAATTTCAATAAACATGATTGAATTCATTGCGCACGCCCATGGCAACGGTATCTGTCTGTGACTAGCAGCTGATATTGGTATCCCAGATGACGTCACTTAATATGCGCATAGGCACACCATCTTCTCCTTCCACTATGATTGCAGATAGGGTATGTTTATTGAAGAGCAGTTATTCACGAATACTTTACGCTATTTTTTATTGGTACACTTGAGCAAGTGTTAAAGATCAGTTATCCAATAATACTTCACGATATTTTTTTCATTGGTACACTCTGAGAGTAAAAGACTCAATTGGCCCAACTCGATCGTATGACCAGATTCGGCGCTAGAGGTGTATTTTTGAGATTGCGGAGCTCAATGAATAATATGATAATCTCGTGATATGGATTCACCCCAAAATAAAGATTGATAATATGCGGCAGGGAGTTATTGAGATTGGTTAAAGGTACGTATGTTTCAAGGGCACAGAAGTGTTCTGAAGTGTACCTGATAAAAATGCCTTGAAAAATGTTCTATATCCTACCAAGAAATTTGAATACCTCGCAAATTTTGTGGCCTGAACCTATATTCCATGCCGGCCGCATCATATTCTGTTTCCGTTTCCGTGGAATTACGTTATCCGATGGAAATTCGAATAGAGTGAATTGATTTCCCCTGTTCTTAAAGTTGGAATCTGCACAAACTTGCATCTTACTCATAATTCTCTCAATTTGTCAAACCTCTGTAATTTATGTCATGTACGTCCGTGAACTGCCAGTTCCCGATTTTTCCATCAATTTATTTGTGGTTATGTCTGACTGTCAGTGCTTGTCATAGTGTCCGTACTCTGATATACAAAAAAACGTCAAAATAGCAGTGTCAAGTACATTTAGGAACTCAAGTTTACGGTACCGATTAAAGAATAAGACTTATTCACCTGTGCAGCTCCTGCTGAGCAGTCCCTCGTTCGTCACGTGCCTTACGAATTCCAAACCCTCGTCGAGCACCTTGATCCTGGAATTGCCCGTGTCCAGCACGTACACGGCGCCGTCCCTGTCGTCGACGGCGACCGCCACCGGCTGCAAAAATTCGTCTTTGCCGCTACCCCTGCAGCCGTACGTGAGCACCGGCTCGTTGTGCTCTGACACGTCGAAGTAGAGGGGGGTGTCCTTGATCGGACGGTCCATCACGAACACCTGTGAGATAGAACATGAATTCGTTTTCCCTAAGGTCCCTTGAAGTAAATTGATGTATTTGCCATCTGAACAGGGATCGGACAGATCATAGAACTTTTCGCTTTTGACACTCTGACTGCCATGTCAGTAATTTGGATTTTCATTGGTTCGAACGCGTCAGGCGACGCGAAGTTTTCAGAGTAGGGGGCATCTGACTAATCAGCATAAAAGCATGTCAGCTAAAATCGACCGACGCGGCCTGACAAGGCAATTTTTTTCAATGTATATAAGTATAAGTGCATGATATACTCCTATTAGTTATTAATTTATTGAACAGTAAAAGGATAAAACACCGAATGCTAGAAAAACTGTTTAATTTGTTACAAAAATCTCGTGAAACAATATGTACAAGAAAGGAGGCTAAAAATGAGGTGAAGAGAGTGCGGACGCATTATGAAGGCTGCCAAGAGAAGGCTTCTATGTGCGTTGAATGTCATGTGAAAACCCATTCCAACAATAATTAGATTCAGATATGTTCATGAGTTTTTTCATATTTTATTCAATAAACGATTTTGAGGCATTATTGTAGCTATAAATTTCATAGTGAGCGCCACAAAAAAATTCACGTACGTTCATTTGAGCGCCGCGAATTAAGATCTAAAGTTGAATGCATCGTCGGTCGTTTTCGCATGACACAGCTCGAAATGAAACTTTTGCTGTCGAAGCTCCCGGCAGCCAGAGTGTTAATGATCTAGTGGCTTTGATTTTGTGTATTGACCATTCTAGAACACGCGATTTTGACATGGTTTCTTGAGGGGCACACAATTTATTTGTTAGGTTACCTTTGATGAGCATAGCCCTGGCCATTCCTGCCACATCCACAATATAATAACAGTTTCACCAAACAAAATTATAAAATTCTTTGTTTACAACTCGGATTCCAAGGAAAACGATCACACTAATATTTTATTAGGTTTATTTATAATATTTATATGACAAATCTTGACAAAATACAATGTTTGCCCCTCAGCAACCTGTCAAATGACGTAATTCTGGAATGATTGATTGGCGTTCCTGACATGACATTGCTGTCACGTCAAATTCATAGGCGTTAAAAGAAACCTTACAAACCTTCAATTAATACTTAATCTTAATACGATATTATTCAATTAGGTTTTGGAAGGATGGTAAAATGTGCTGCGTTAGGCTGTATCAATCAGTTGGATGGCAGATTTGAATTTGTCAGATTTCCAACAAATGTAAATGAACTTAAAACATGGAAAGTGAAGAGACCAAATTGGGAAAATCTGTAAATACATCAACAAAATATGCGAGGTAAAGTTGATCTCACGTGATTTTCCCAAGAAAGGTTATTGCTGATAGTAATACCAAGCATCGAAATGGATGTCTTCAAAGGTATGGTTACTCCTGTAATGTATGGCACAGTGAGATCGGTTTTTCTAGAGAAAATGCATGCGTGTTTTGTTTGCATTGAAATCTACCAAGTTATTGGATCCCCATTCGAGAATTATTGCTAAGTCCATATTTATTTTGTCAACATTTCTCCCTCGTTCGTTTCTATTTGCCTGGCTGCTATTGGAGCCCTGGAAGAGAAGGCGGAATGGAGGCTACTATCATCCGCGAAGCTGTGTACTGAACATGAAGTTGCTTCCAACAAATCGTTGATATGGAGTAGAAATGGTGTTGGTGCTAGAATTGATCCTTGTGAAACACCAGCATTTATGGTAAGAGAGTCAGATGAAACTCCGTCGACCGCTACATGAAAAGACCTGTTTGAGAGAAAACTACCTAGCAGAGAACATAGCTGGGGAGGCAAGCCATGAGATGGAAGCTTGGCGAGGAGTCCGTGGTGCCAGACTCGATCGAATGCTTTGGAGATATCAAGTGCCACGGCTAAGGTTTCACCATATTTTTCAATAAATTGCTGCCATATATGTGAGACGTAAGCGATTTTCATCTTGATAGTCGTGAAGTCCCTACCTGCATGCCGTATCGGCCGGGCCTCGGCACCCGGAAGTACAGCCTGTAAGTGCCATCTTCAGTGTCCACCACTCGCACCGCGTGACTCTCGGCGGGCCCCTCGGCCGTCACCATCTGCAGCTCGACGCGCACCGGGTCGCCGCCGCTCTTGCGCGCGTTGCCGTCGTAATCCACCGTCCTCAAGGTCACGAAGTTGTCGATGCCGGCCACTGCGGGGATAGAGAGATAGTTGTTCATACAGAAATAACGAGTTAGGAAGAGTGATTTATTTTGGTTATTTCTCCTGCGGGGGAGGCATCACATTCAAAGGACCTCCGTGGACCCGCTGCCCAATCGATCATTCAACTCGGCAGAAATAGCGTATGATCCGATAAATCGGATGACCATTTCCTTGCGCATTAAGCGAATGTAAACATGATTTTGAAAAATGTTTGTTCTGTAAACCATAGCAACTACCTTATTTTGTGTTCATATTCACAAAAAAGCCACTAGATTTGCTGTAAAATATCTGAATGTGATTTTTGTATGGATTATGGACCTGACATTGTAGAACCAGAGTGGCGGCGGGTAAGTCAAATTATAATTACTTATTTACAAACGGATAGGAAATATTATTAGGCATGAAAACACATCAAGGATATATTAGTGAATGAGTTCCTGTGTGCATTCAAAATAAATTGCGGCTCGTATTCAGGTATCAGTATTCGTTTATACTAGTCGATGCATACATTTCGGGAGGATGTAATTCAATGTTCTACGTGGCATTAGCCAGGAAAGTAGTTGTTTTCCTCCCGAAATCTACCATTGTTGAACATTATGAACATTGTGTGGAAATGACTTTGAGCTTTTTGTATTTATTTAAAATTTCATTCCACTTTGAGCATTGTGGCTATTTCGTAGTTGATTCTAATGAAAGTTGTGGAGATGACTTTGGGTTTTCATCTATGAAAGTTGTTTCATTCTGATAATGATATTAGTCAATTGACACCACAGAGAAGTCCACATCGATATGAATGTGATGAGTGAGAATAAAACCCTCGCAGGAATAATCCTTACCGGCTACCATGCTGTCCTCCATCTTGGCCGTGCAAAGACTGGGAAAGGTGGTGCTCGTCCGGACTTTGCCCAGAACGCCGAGGTGCTGCTGGATCTGCTCGAGACTGTCGTTGAGGCCAAAGTCGCAGGCCAGAAAGGCGTTCTCGCGCGGTTCGCTCAGCGCCATGGTCGAGTCGAGCTTCTCGGAGAGGATCTCGATGCGCTGCGTGATGTTGCGCACCTCCACTTGGTATTGGAGGCCTTGGCATTCCTGCTCGACCTAGAACGGCGATACATTTGTATTCGACCCGAATATCTTCAAAACGAAGATATCTAGAACTATAGTTGGAATCTATAAAATAATTCGTTTTCCAAACTATGAAATCAGAATTTAAGGGAAAGAGAAAATGATTATCAATTCCACTTGGTATTGGAGTCCTTGGCATTCCTGCTCGACCTGGAACGGCGATACATTGATATTCGACTCGTCTATCTTCAAAAGGATTCATAAAATGAAGATATTGAGAACTATTTTTAGAATCTATAAAATAATTCGTTTTCCAAACTCCAAACTGAGAATGTAAGGGGACAACTGGAGAGAAAATAATCATCACCTCCACTTGGTATTGGAGTCCTTGGCATTCCTGCTCGACCTGGAACGACGATACATTGATATTCAACGCGCCTATCTTCAAAATGATTCATAAAATGAAGATATTGTGAACTATTGTTAGAATCTATAAAATAATTTGTTTCCCAAACTCCAAACAGGTCCCCGATTCTCGACTTCAGTTGAATTCATTCCAACTGGTAAAGCTTCCCATGTTCGTCTTCCCGTGGGAATCTTGAAGAGTATTCTCGACCACGATAGGAATGCTATTTCCCAGTGGAATTGAAAACACGGTATGTCGGTGATAGTTTATGTGCTCAACCAATCAGATATTGATATTTTCCAGGGATATTCTTGTTTTCATTTACAACGATCCAAAGATTTCAGTTGGTAGTGGTGTATGCATGGTGAAATTTAGGTTGTGTATAAAAAAATTGCAAAAGAAAGAATTTGGGGTTTTTGGAAACATTTTTTTCATAAGGAAGCAATTATTCTCTAATCATGGAAGAGAAAAAAAAGTGGACATATGTCTGAATGTCTATTTTGTACCTGAATAAATAGTTATTTAATTCTTTTTGAATTTCCTATCAGAACTCTAGTTAGTTTAGTTATTTACTATGAAAAATAAGTCAGATACAAAAATATACCATACATGTAGAAAGCTGCTCATCTATGAATTGGTTCAGTGTGTTTGAAAATCGTATATGATGAGATCTACATTCAAGAACAGCACAAGTATCAATTCATTTATTTCGATAAAAAATAATCAAACAAAATAATTCCAAATTATTTAACGTTGCGACCTCCTTCCTTCTTGTAAATCAGCAATTTAATGCCTTAATCAACAATGAATCCATTGTACAGTTCCATACTTACTTTAATTTTTTTGGCAGTGCTGATTCTCTGGTAGGACGTGCTAAAAAATTATCCAAGTTTGGATGAGATTCAGTGCCGAGTTCAGTGCTAAAGGTTTAGTTAATCTGAATAACTTTAAAAAATGTTTATCTGATAACAGATCAAATGGATATCCATTTTGCAAATTTGTCCAAAAATCTCTTCCTTGGTTTCCGGCCATTTCTTCAGCCATTTCAACAATGTCTTGTTGAACCAGAAGTATCAGCTCATCATGTTTAGATAGTTTGTAACATACTTTTTATATTATACCTAGTACAATGATAATTCCAACCTCAAACTGGACTGAAAACCCATTGGAATTTGAATTCGTGTGGAGAAACACCAAGTGAATATATACCACTGAAATTCATAGGACCACGTTCCAGCGACAAATGTCGAGAATACTAAATCATAATTCCTATGAGAATTTGATCACTTTTCCCATGGGAAAAACGTCGAGAATCGAGCTCCTGAAGAGAAAGTGATGATCAATTCCACTTGGTATTGGAGTCCTTGGCATTCCTGCTCGACCTGGAACGACAATACCTTGATATTCCATGCGTCTATCTTCAAAATGAATCATAAAATGACAAAGATGTTGGTATACTTCCGAAACAAAACCCTTTTGAGTTGTCTGATCACAAATTTTTGAAAATGTTTCGGCTAACAAAGGGTTTAACAAGGCACCTCATTAACATTGTGAATCCTCATATGGATGCACCCACGAGAGCCTCTGCTCTCACTGTAGAGACTAAGGTATATCACATTAACTACTTATATCATAAGCTGATGAGGTGTAATGTTCACCTCATGATCAATTTGAAAATCATTCACAAATCACGAATAATAACTTGGAAAAATTACATTTAACATTCAACGTTCACCTTCACCCTTCACCTTGTCTGTAGAATGTCAGAATGTCAGAAAATAATCGTTTCTGATTGATCTTCACCTTTGGAAACACGTGGCAACACCGTCTATCGAGGAGCTATGATTTCTCTCTCTCCCTCTTGCTCAAGAATACGAACTTCTTTTTTCGAAATGAAGGAGTAGAAACAAATCGGGGAACCGTCAAGAATCGCGGCCCTGGAGAACATAAATCGTACGTATTTAGAACTCACTCTAATTTATGTTTCCGAACACCAGGGGTGTATTTGAATAAGGGCTATGTGGGGTAGAGTTTACTCATTTGCGTTCAAAATTTCTTCGACTGGATATATTCTACTCTGACTTTTTGACGTCGAGTTATAACTCTTGTAACTCCACAAACAAGGTGGGAAATATGTTACTACCCTGATCCTCTTTGTTTCAAATTAGGTTAGGTCCATTTGAAACGCAGTTTATGATTGTTTTTATATTCTCAAAGGAATCAAACGTGGTAAGTATTTTCATCAACATCAAAGACACATCTGAGATGAGTAGCAATGGAGTAAGCTTCATATTTTGATGTTGAAAAAAATCTTGGAATCATCAGAAAGTGAGACTGGGGATCTGTTGAGATCGACAAATTTGATATAGAATATTCAATTATCAATTCAATATACAGTGTCATTCATAGATTTCGCATCATATAGGAAAAACGTTTAATAATAATTTATTTCGAAATTCGACTTGGGCGTCAAGTTTTGCTTCAAAAAAGATGAAAAATGCCCGAGTGGGCGTCACACTCACAGGTCACAAAGATGTCTTATTAGGATATCAATGTGAATTATTCAGTTAACATCGATTAGATGTAGTTTGAAGAATGACTTTGATATCGAATCTACGTCGATTAGATGTCAAAACGAGTTATTGCATTGATGTTGATGTCGCATGATGGTTGGCTGGGGACTTGATGTCATAAACGACAGTTCGAGGATTCCTGCATATTGAGAAGCGTTTTCAGGCGAGCAATAAGGATGAGATTTCCGGGTTGCTGGGATTTATAGCGGTCAAGATAGTAGTTATGTCATCCATAAACACATAACATCGCTGTCATTCATGAAATCGAATTATGTCACTTCTTGGTTTTCGAAAACTCGAGTAGGAGTGAATTAGATATATGAGAGGAACTGAATGTGCATAATCTAAAGGGTCAAATTCATATGGAACCCCATTGGTAAAACTAGTGCACACTGAGTGCATATAATGCATTGGTGAAACTAGTTGTGGTTTCTGTGTCCACTGGTGCGTTTGATGCTGCACTATGTACAACAATTCTCGTGCGAGACGATTGCAATGTCAGTACATTAGTCAAATTGACAAAATGTCCGGTTTATTAAAAAGGTTATTCTGAAAAACCTCATCCTCTAGTAGGTATGACATGAAAAGTATTTGATAATGAAAATATGAACAAACCACTAGTCATCAAGATATTTCACGAAAATGTCCCAATTTTCACCTTCTTCTACCTCCTGTCTTGGATACCCATCAAATACGTGTTTTTACATGGGTAACGAAAAAAATTCGAAAAAAAAAACATCGCATGAAAAGTGCAAAATTAACGAAATAATAACCCTAAATGATTATCTCAATCAGACTATTATCTCATGGCAGTAGTTGTTGATAAACTAAATAAACTCAGAATTAGAAGTGCTAATTGTAACACCACTTAATATTAGTGCAAAAGTTCCAACTGATTGATCATGAGTTCTAAATAAAAACTGATCAGAAAGATTCCGGAAATGAGAAAAAAGTTAATGATCATTTGATTTTCCAAGGACATTAGAATTTCTCAGTCTATCGATTCTTACCTTATTTTTCTCACTTTCTATCAGCGTGTGCTGTTCTTCCAGTACTCTTCGTTTCTCCGTACAAATAGAATTCACATTGTCGATGATTTCTTGTTTTCTTTGTTCCATCAAGGCTTGAATATGTCGGAATGTCTCGTTGATTTCATCCAGACAAACTTCTTTCGCTAAATTCAGTCTAGTCAATTCCGAGCTTACACCTTCTTGGGCTTGAGTTAACTAAAATAATTAGAGAAAGCCTTGCCAATGGTAAGGTAGGTACATACTTCACAATATTTTTTCTCTTGTTTCTGAATAATCTAGGATCTAGACAATGTCTTACGAGGAAGGTAATATACCGGGTGGCTACGGAAGTATTGCCTACGGAATATCTCAGTTATTGTATGAAGAAGGTTTGTGAAATTTGAAGCGTCGATATAATGACATAAGAGCTAGAATTTGAGCATACTGACATGTCGAAGTTAACTTCCGGTCTGATCGGAAGTAACATCAACTTTCTTATTTTAAATGGAAACCCTATTTTTTTTTCTTTTCGCTTCATTCAGCATTCAATTCCCTTTCTAATGACATATCACTAGTTGGTATCTAACCAGAAACTAGATCAGAAAAAAATTATTATTGAAATTCACCGAGTAGGCCGTGGAAGCAAAATGAAAGCCAATAAATGACTTTCTATTATATCATTAGGAAGGAATGGTTATGCTGAATAGTACAGGCAAGAAAAAGTTGTATGTTCCTATTTAAGTTATGGACCTACAGAGTATTGTTTTTCCCCAATTTTTCCAATATTTTTTTTGGCAACTTTTCATAACGCCGACGAATGAAAATAAAATATCACTGTAGTAGCAACTGTTATCAAGTGACGTATGGTTTCCATAGCCAACTTTTCAATTTTTGGCTTTCATTTTGCTTCCACGGCCTACTCGGTGAATTTCAATAATAATTTTTTTCTGATCTAGTTTCTGGTTAGATACCAACTTGTGATATGTCATTAGAAAGGGAATTGAATGCTGAATAAAGCAAAGAGAAAAAAAATAGGGTTTCCATTCAAAATAAGAAAGTTGATGTTACTTCCGGTCAGACCGGAAGTTAACTTCGACATGTCAGTATGCTCAAATTCTAGCTCTTATGTCATTATATCGACGCTTCAAATTTCACAAACCTACTTCATACAATAACTGATATATTCCGTAGGCAATACTTCCGTAGCCACCCGGTATATGGTTATAGCATACCATATAGGAAGAAATATTCAACACTAACCTTAGAAATACAGTCATTGGCCTTATACAGCAAAATTTCCGACATCCTCTTGATAGCTATTGAAAAAGGTATGATGGTGTGTTCACAACTGTTCGAGGTGTCATGGTGGGAGCCCCCAGTACACAAAGTGCAGAACACAGTATCACAGGTCTCGCAGAACAGCAACTCTTGGTTGATGTGGACTGAACACTTGGGTATCACCTCCCTGAAACATTCAAAAGGAATAAAATGAATGCCTTATTGTGATACCGGATCAATGAATATTATGAGATAAACGAGGATATAATCAAACCCAACTAGGGAAAAGCAAATATGAGACTAATAGTTATGTATATGTTAACGGAAAAACCCGATTTTAGGATATAGGGAAGTTCAGTACGGATAAAAATATTATGTTGAGTTCTTGTTGTGAGGAATTTCGGAAAAATTTGAAGAAATGAATTGACATTAGAGTTCAGTTCTTGTTCGTATGATTGAGAACTGACATACTGATGAGAATAATTAGAATAATCTACATTGTTTTCTGGTGAAAACCACAGATTAATCGGACAATAATTTGGCATTGCCAGATAATCGTTTGAGCACTCTTCTCCGAATTGTTCGGTGTTCTCGGAAAGTTGGTCATAATAATCAGAATTTGCCGAATGAGAACCCTCGTTTATTTCCTGGGTATAAAGTTCATCGAATGTATAAGAGGTATGTGGTTTTGGTTCAAGTGAAGTATTTCCTGAACTTGTATTCATAGGTGTCACTCGTGTTTGAGTTCTCATTGAATAGTTAGGTCTATAATAATTTTGATTGGTTGATGGGAATCTATAACTGGGTGTCCAATTTGGAAATAATGGTCTCTGATTTTGTGTCATTGGTCTAGGATTGGGAAATGTTTGCGGTCTGAAGTTTTGTTGATGATTTCGAGAGCTCTGGAAGAATAGTTGTGAGTTGTATTGATAATTTGGTTGGAAGTTTTGTTGTGAATTCGGTTGAAAATTTTGAAATATAGGTCTTGCTTGTCAATATCGATTGAGGTGGTTGAAAGGGTCTTCTCATGTGATATATGCTAGAGCTTGTTGAAGACTGTCTGGGTTTCGCAATATCACAACTAGTTGCATTTGATATGTCAATCCACTTATAAAAGTTTTGAGAGCAAAATTATCATTGGGTATAGTTAAAAGTTTTTCGGCTTGAGATTTATTTGAAGCATTCAATATGAAAAAAGCAAACTACGAGCGTCTTGGATTCTCATTTCAGATTGCAATGGCGTTTCTTTTCTTTGAGGTTTGAGATTCATTAGGTCTTGAATAAGGCAATCAATATTTCTTTGGTCAGAAAAGGTTAGGTCAAGGGAATATTGATTGCTAGATCATTATATCCGAAGAGCGATAGGATGAACTAGTTTGTTAATATTTTGTGAGGAAGGAACATACACCTATATGAGTAGATCATTCGGAAACGTATTCAATGATTTTTTTTATCAATCAGCTTGACTTGTTCCCGAATGATTTAGCCTAGGAAAAACTAGTTTATCCTTAAATCGGGTTTGTCCAGTAACATATACACCATTAGTCCAATCAAATGGTATTTTTGCACGTGGAAGAATTCAAATAGTCGGTTTCTCTGCGGTTTTATATGTTTTTGGGGATGCTGAATCTGAATCTAAAGTTTGCATACAAAATTTCCTGGAGCGTTTCAAGATATTGGCAAAAAACAGCGGAATGTTCGAACTTTTTTTCAGTTTTTCGCTGGTAACTCGGAAACTATACATTATAGCGAAAATACCATGCTATAAAAATTTGAGGTAGATTAAATTTTCTATATTCAATTGTTCGTGCTCATGAATGAAGGACTAACGGGTGAGGAGCTAGAGCAAGTTGAAAATAGACCAAATTTTTGTATTTTGCAAAAAATAGTGTTGTTTTGTCGGTTCTCGTAGATGATTCATAATCTCCAGAACCAGATCCTTCAGGGTATAAACTAGTTTGTAGATTGTAGGGATTACCCTAATCTAATTGACTTCTATATTTAACCCTAGACCATGAAACCTAGGATTTTCTTGATGGTTCAATTTTCCACCTCAGCAGGCGTCAGGTTGACCTGTTCTAGGTGATTCAGCCTTTTGCGGACTACAACATTTCATGCATGAACGAAGTATGTTTTCCGTGGTTTCGGTCACGTTGATACAAAGGCGCAAAGTCGGCAAGTTTAAGTCTTCGCTAAGTCCATCTTTTTGATTTATTTAGCTGTTATAGTTATAACTCAGAATTTTAAAATTCCGAGATATAAGTCGGAATTTCGATGTAAAATTCCGAGTTATAAGTCGGAATTTTACATCCAGTGCCGAGTTATAACTCGGAATTTTGAAATTCAGAGCAATAAGTCGGAACTTTGATGTAAAATTCCGAGTTATAACAGAATTTCAAAATTCCGAGTTATTACTCGGAACTTTGGATGTAAAATTCCGAGTTATAACACGGAATTTTAAAATTCTGAGTTATAACTCGGAATTTTGGATGTAAAATTCTTGAATTTTGAAGAGTTAATTTCTTTTTATTTTACGTGTCCCTTCCAGGCCATCGTATTATGGCATTATTCTCATAAGTATTGGTAAGAAGGGTGGTAAGTAATGCGCAGTTGGTATATTGGTTAACCGGGGTCATGACGAGAGATTGATTGATATTGATGAACTTGAGTTTGTGAGACTATTGATTCAGTTTGCTCAGTGAATGTTGACTATCACGTTGTAGTTCACAGCTCGGTTTACTGTCCTTTTTTTTCATGGATATAATAATTAGAATTATAAATAGTCCTCTCGAGAGTTAGGTAGGTCACAAATTGAAATTTGAATTCAATTATATTCCCCTCACACCTGGAATACGTTTGTTTTTATTAAGTTCAACCTGTAGGCTAAATTCTTGGGGTCTTTTTAGGTGTTTTTACAAGACTGAGGAAACTTTCTGAATTTGGGAGTGTGATTTTAAGAAATCACTTGGCGCTCAACAGTTTCTTGAATTATTTTCTTCACCTACTCCCGACTCCACTGAGTATTGGTCGGTGCACACCCGAATTATTGTCCTCCATGGCGAAGTTTACGTAACAAAACTAATCAGATTGAATCAAGGATGTCACGTTACCTTCTCTGCCTGGACATGAGGTCGAGCAGCTGGTTGACCAGGAACGAGGGCGGCAACGCAGCCACGCCGCCTCTCGGCACCTGAATCAACTCCCGGCAGATGGGGCAGCGGAAGGAGCCGGCATCGCGAGTCTGAGAGGCAGCGATGCGCGCGAGGCAGTGCAGACAGACCGTGTGCGAGCACTGCAGCAGCTTCGGAGTGTGCTCCTGCCCATCGTACATGCCTGGAAAGAATAAGAAGAAGAGTCGTCAGAGCGCGGCTGAACAATTATCAATTTCATCGGCTGGTTATAGTTATGCCCAAATTTGGTCGGCCTTATCCTGGCCCATAATATGCAGGCCACAATTGGCCAGAACGACAAAATTCCTGTCAAAATTGTTGGGCCAGTACCAATAGGAGACTCTGGCCTTCATCGGTTTCAGTACATGTACGCCGGTACATTAAAATAAAAAAATACGCCCGCCACGGGATTCGAACCACGGTCCTCCGCTATCACTTGGTTACAAATCGACGCCAGAGCTAGATATTCCCCATGTTTTTCTAATGAAGCCTGCCATATATGGGTGACGTAGGCAAGTAATTCTCCAGTAGATCTTCGATGGCGAAAGCCTTATTGTCTATCATTTGAGATTTTCAGATATTAGATCAGCCCAATGCTGATAACTGTCTCTATCACTTTGGAGATAACTGATAACAGGGCAATTATTGTCCACCAAAACGCGCCACTGAAACGTGAGGTCAGGGTTGGTAGAACTGATACTTCTTATTCTCGTGTTATTTGGCATCTTCTTACGATATCTTCTTCTCCGTCCATGTAATAATTGGTCGTAAAGTTAAAAGAACGTAAGCTGGCTCAAGTATTTCGATAACTTGAGGTTTTCTATTTGTTCAAATATTCTACATCCGAATATTTTCAATAAAATAGGCTATTGTCCTTGGGGCTATCCGGGAAATATTGGGATTTTTGACATTGACACTGACCCCAGGATTTAGTAGCGCCAACTGGTGAGATTGAAAATGTTAGCACTCATTGGCCTTTAGTTGTTGGGCAGGCATTTGTTTCCTTTTTTGGGTATCGGTTTGACAGCCGCAGGTAAAGTTCTGGTTTGTTTTTTCTTCTGATTTTTGTCCACTAGTTAATTAACTGACTGGTAAGGAATGTTGGCAATAATGATGAATAGACGTAATGGATCTGATTGGTTGTTCTTCTAACATGGTTTTCACCGACCAATGGGAATATTTTTATAATAAAATAATGGATTTTTTAGATAACGATGAGAACTTAGATATCGTGAAAAGAGTGGAAAATGGGATGATCATGATATTCAGTTCGCCGAAATTGATGTATTTGATGATTGACTTGAATTTCGAGCAATACATTTCTTTCTTCAGGAGTGAAATTGTTTTCTCTTTCCATTTATATTTGATACTAAGTCAGACAAGAGGTTATACGACTTAAAACAATAAACGAATGAGATATATTATCTATCCTACAGTTATCTGACTTATCCGCTAGTCGAGGGCCTCAGAGTGTGGTTTGTTTCTCTAAATTTTGCATTAATAATTTTGGAAATGAATGATACTACAAGGGCAATCTTTTATTTTCACGAAAACGGTGTACCTAGGTGCCGTGTTAAATTTGTAGGATTTCTGAATGATTTCTTCCTTAGTCATATACTTTATGTATGAGCGATTTCTAATTCCAAGTAATTAGCAGCAATATTAACTGTAAAGTCGAATCTGAATCACCAGGCCGGAAATTTTTATAAGAAACTCAAAACATAAGGAATATTCCAAGAAATACTGAAATATACACAACGAAAATTAAAAAAAATAGTACTATAACAGCAAAACGTGTTATTTCAGTATATTTTGTAATTTACGAGTTGGTTACAAAATTTTTCCGTCGACTGTATTTCTCATTTCTCCTGCAATGGAGAAAACTCGGTTGGCGATTTCATCATTCATTCGGAACCTACAAAAAATCTCCAAGTAGCCTTTTCACTGACATTAGTGACGTTTGACATTTGTCGAAATAATCAAAATGGAAAATAAATTCCTTGTGTTTGAAATCGTTTCCGAAACTTGGGAAGGCTAAACCGTTCTTCTTCTTCTTCGATGAAATCCATATTTTCGATTTAAATGCAGGTTACGTGATCGCGGGAATCAATGTTACCAGGTGGCGCTCGGTTTTCATCGTTCCATGTCAAAGCCACGTCAAAACTGGGGGAAAACAAACTCAATCCCATTAGTGCCATTAGCTTGTGTACTGTGTACTGATAAAAGTGATAACACCTTATGTCATTGACAAGTTTGACAACTACAGCTACAGCAAGATGTATGTAATGTAGTCTATGCACTTTATCCATAGACAACAGATTGTTTTCCCCCAGTTTGAAGTTCGTATTATGTAACCTAGATGTCGCCCACTTCGTGAATCTCGCGAATACAGTGAATGGACGTGGTGTAGGTTTGGTTGCCTATGCTACAATCGTGCATTAATAGTCAAATTGATCATTAATAGGAATCATTAACGATCAATTTCACAAACTTTAAACTTCGATGGAAAAATAGTTTTATTAGTAGTAGGTAAACATGCAATGTGGAAGCTCAATGTTGGCTAAGCCTTAATTAATAGCAAGAATAACAGACACCTTGTATTGTGAGAACTATAACAAGGCTATAACATATGCATTTCATCCATCAACTAATCAAGCAGAACAGTTAATAGCATATTTTAGTGCAAGAAAAACAAACAAATCATGTTCGTTAATACAACATGCAAGTAAAGAAAAATAAAAAACGCACCATTCCATACGCGATCTGTAACAACAAAAATTCTGTTTTGTAATATATGAAGCTTGACTCACTGTATAACAATGATCAAATGAATATCAAATTTAATAGAACGACGTGTTCCTTAGATGTCCTGTTATTATAAACAACATTGTTATTTCGTATATACAATATCAAACTACTCTTGAAACTGAAGTGGCATTTAGCAAACATTATTTATTGAACGTACTTTAGAAAGTAAAGTGACACTTTCTATGGCATGTTATTTTTAATTACAAACTAGAGAATATACTCTATCTCCAAATAAAACATGTTACTCCTTCAAACGTTCAAATATTCTTCTAAATGAAAACTTATGGGATTTGAATTTCAAATATCGAGTTTTGACACACCGAATGTCATAATTTTCTGACGTTTGGAGAAAAAAGTATACTATTTTCTATACCGGGTATTTTCCGAAAGTGGCATATCAATATAACTTTTTTGTCTATACAGATAAACAAATGTAATTCGTACATACACAAAATAGTGATTTTTTGACGTATTCAATAGTTTTGTCACTTCAGGTTTTACCAGAAAGTACTCTTACTTCCTTATATGAATATGGAATATACGGTATATTATCACACATTTCGATAGAAAATCACATAGTCAGTACAATATGACACATCATTTTTAAGTTGCCGGGGAAAACTAGTTTCGATGGAGTTTTACTTTTCATTTTACAGTTTCATTTGAAGCTTACTACATACAACATCGTTACAATGATGTTAGCTAATTTTTTTTGAAATTACCATATCTAGAAAAGGCATTGTGTTACGGACATTTTGATACCACACAATCAATATTTTGAGTAAATGTCAAGCATCATAATCTCTCCAATCGCTCTATAATACTAATAGATTGTTGTGACTGCAATCAACCTTGATCATTAATAATATAAAAATGCTTCGGAAACTATTATAAAATATATGTATATATTGCGCAGCCAAATTCAATTGGTCAGTTTTGGCAGATATGCTTGAGAAATACTGTTTTATATTCAGTTCGTTTCAACAAATTGAAAAATGGCAAATTACAGGATGATAAATGTCAAAAAGTGACGAATGGAGTGTCATTGTATTCACAATGTGATTTTTTATTGAAATAAGTAAATATATACCGGTTAATGGAGAAGTTTTCTATATTGAGGTTTTAATCTCATTGTGAAGGTTGTAAAATTGATATATACGTATATTTTTTTTTTCGTAAGATCAAATTTCACTTCAGAAAAAAAAAATAAAAGAGGAACTTGGCTCCTCCACCATTCCTGTGACTTCCTTTCTAAAAATCCACATTCACACAGAGTTAAAATACGATTCCCTGTGCCAGTACGACGTTGCCGATATCGTCAATATGTCTAGATATCCGGAAATTGTTCTATGACTGCATAATAACTATTTATATCATAACAGCAATGGGATATAATAGGTTCTTCAATCCTACTTTGTCAAGTATTATGAATATTTCGCATATATCTCTCATTGGCTGAATGAAGTTGAATAATAATAAAGATAAATTATGATATTTTGCGATAGTATCTATAATTTTTCACTATCGTTATATTACAATATGTTATTCATAACTTGACAGTCATTTTCTTGCTAATGAATTCGTTCCTTGATAAAACGGATCTATTTTCTAGGAAACTTGTAGATTATATCTTGCAACAGCGCCTAATACTTCGAGTCCGTCCACACCACTCAAAATACTGACAGGCACAACAAGAGGAAGGAGCCATGGGTGTCGGCTTCATTCTGTTCTGACCGATGGCAGTAAATTAGGAAGGATAGTATCATTGACCGGCGTACCTCAGTGCTTCGATGCTTCAATATCGATTCACGTCGAGGTATCGATCGTGGGTTCGAGACCCACGAACGCAGACTTTTTCTGATGGCCTAAGAAAGTGTTTGGGATCACACGTTAAAAGGTAAGGCCCCCGTCATTCCTTGCTCGCACAAGTCTTTCGAAGACTTCTGAGGGTTGCTCGTAAGGGGGCAACCGAATGACGGATAGAACAAAACAAACAAAACAAAAACAAATTGAATGTAGAGCCGATAGTCATTCATTGATTCAATGATATTTTCGTTTAGGATCGAGCTCTATTCGAGATATTTCAATGCATAAATAACAAAACCATAACCTGTCAGAATGAAGCCAAATACCTTCTGCATTCCTGCTCCGAGTGCATTTGTGGTTATGTATCTTTTTGTTAAGCAGTTTTACTTCTTCTTCTATTTTTTTCATTCGTTAGCTATTTGTTAGCTATTCGCTAGCTATATTCTTCATCATCAGCTATTTTCAGACTAGATTCAGAATGTACGTCACAATTTGCCGCCCCGAAAATTAGAAATTGCTTTAATTTGAAAATGAAAACGATTTCATCGGTCGTCATTCTGTACAGCGTGGACATAAAACTGGAGAGTTCCTCAACTTATTTCATGAAAATGCATCTCAAGAATACTTCCCTATTGCCACATTTAAAATAAGAAAGTGAGGGTCCTTTGCAGTAAAACCTGAAATAACGCACCGGATTTCATTCGTTTATCTGTCGGAACAAAAGAGTTATAGGAGTGAGCCACTTTTGAGAAACACCCTGTACATACATGTATTATTTGGAGTTTTGAAAAATCTATTAGAACTAGGTTATCTAGCAAGCAAATATTATCATCTGATTCACTGATCTAGTTAATAATATAGATTTTTTATTATTTTATGGGAAATATTGGTTTGCTCATAATTACACCAATGTAACGTCATAATAATAACAGATTCAGTTCAATATGCTGGGCAATTAAAATTGATCAAAACAAACATTCTACAATAATAATCATGAACTATAACTATATATACAAGATAAAAACAAAGTGATACATTATCGGTACTTACACAAACACGTTCCGCATGTCAAAAAACTTTCGTTGAAATCTTCATAGTTTATGCTGACTGTTTCAACTAGAGTTGAGTTCATGCTAAGCATCCTTTCTCCCAACCTGGTCCTGAAAATCAAAATAAAATCAAATTCGACTAATTCGAGACAATACAAATCATATGAAATATCAGTATTTCCTTGATAGATGTATAGAAAGTCAAATGGTGTTATCACTCCCTATTGAAAGGAGTTTGAAATCTCTCGATATCGCCTACTTCGTAAAAATAGCGAGGCGTGGAAGAATCTTGCTAATTTTCCGAAGTTTCAAACCCAATTTACAGGCATCATGACACATTCATTTCAGTTCACATTTTCATTTCCGCAATTTTTTTGTGTAAATGGAAATGGTGCATTGTATTTTCGAGTTTCCGTGGTGATTCATCAAGTCCTCACTCAAGAAAATTCTGTGATAATAGTTTATTCACCCACTTATGATACATAAAATAAAACGGATGTTCGGATTTTCAAATAATTCTCACACATCGCATCATGGTGAGTTCATGATGAAAGCACAATACACGCACTCAACTATTTATTATACTATTATAAACTACTAATGTTTTTGTAAATTATCATTCATAAGAATTGAAAACATTTCTATTTGAAATTTGAACAAAATCATGAATATAATAATATGCCGAAAACGCGACATTCCTGACAGATATGTCGAATCACGATCAACGGATCAAGATTAATATCAAGATCCAAGTTTCTGCAGGAATTATAAACATCTCATTTCCCTGGCAATATTTGTTGTTAAACGAAGTAATATAATAAATAACAATTTGATATTTGCGTTGATATTTTTGAATGGAATATAAAATATGTGGAAAATTTCATCAAAATTGTGACGGAATAGCAGCACACAGTTTTTTCTAAGAATTCGTAATATAAAAAAATGATCTATTTAAAAATACACTATGAACTACCTTGTATTTTTATGCTTAGTCGAATTCCGACACAAGTTTGAAATAATTTAGATGGCATTTTTCTACACATTTTATGGATTATTAAAAAAAGTGAATTGAATATTGATTTTTCTTACATCAGAAAAAGGAGACGAAAACTTTCATTTCGAAATTTCGAATTTCATCTCGAATTTTCGACTTTTAACTAGGTGACAATGTCATTATTGAAGGTGCCAATACTAAGCTTGATTTCTATACTGAGTGTTATTTATAGCCATTTTCCATTAAATTCTCCTGAATTTTTCGTTGAGGCGCCCATTGAAGTATAATTAATAAGATACTAACTCAACTACACTCAGTTCCAAAAAAAGTGACGCACTTGATATTTGACCTGTCTTCTAAAAAAAAAAGAAAACAAAAAATAGTAGGCTGATTTTAATTTTGTTTTATTTGTTGGTAGGTAATGCATTTGTCTTTAAAAAAAAATTAAGAGGTGAAAATGTTTTCAAAGCCTCCTTGATGGTGGTGGAATAACTCGGACAATGATTTATTCTTAATTTTTGACTCACCCTGTGTGTTAATTGAGTAATGGCGTAGAAAGTGCTTGCACCCTATACGAAAGAGGCTTCTTTTGCGAGCATTTTGTTTTTTTATTCATTGATTTATCTCTAAAATTTTCCGAATTACAGCTTTTTTGTTGATACCTCACGCTTATCCAACAAATTAAAATTGAAGGATCAGAGTACTCAAAATTGGGTTGTACTCTGGTAGGATCCCATTGTCTTAAAAAAACAAATGCCGATGCCATAGCAACAAATTTGTTGTATGCCTCCATATTTGACGATTTGTCGTTGTGTCATTAATTAAGTGTCATGTTTCATTGACTAAAATTATATAAAATGCCTCAAATAAATCCTGAACAAGTAGCAAGATTAGTTACGTTAGTAAACGATGGGCGTAGTAAACGTTACGCCGCTCGTGCAGTGGGAGTCCATGAAGCAACTGCTCGTAGAGCAATCCGCAAGTACGAACAAACAGGAAGCACCGCTCGGAGGGTCGGTTCTGGTCGCCCCCGAAAAACTTCTGCCTCCAAGAGATGATCGCTTATTGAGATTGCGGATTTTACGGAATCGATCAAATACTGCGGTAAATGTTCAGCAAGATCTTCGCCGAATTCGTGATGTTGCAGTAAGTAAGCAGACGGTATGTAGACGTCTAGAAGAAGTTGATTTATAAGCTAGGAGACCTGCAAGAGGTCCCAAATTATTGCCCGAACATCGTGCTGCTAGAAGAAATTTTGTTGAAAATTATGGACAGTGAAATATTCCTGAATGGTCGGATGATGCAACGCGTCAGAGGAAAACTCAGGCAGATCGAAGACCGGTCCCATGTCGATTATTTGAACTTTAGGTAGTGATACGAAAAGACATTTTAAGATTTTTTGTTAAGATTATAAAAATGTATTTCTAAGGGTTGTCAGCATCTGATTTTATTCCCAAAACTTTCGGACCATACGTTAGATGTCCATCGAATAGCCGTGTGATGACTGGGTATAAATGTATTGAAAGTGTTCAGCTGCAAATCTGATAATGCCACCCACTAAGTTTATCGTCCAGTATGTCGTATGTGGGTACTAGAAGCGAAGATATTCTCGAGTAATTGAATATTCAGTGTTCAGTAAAACACGGACCACAGGGAAGGGAGGGAGGGTGTGTTCTCAGGGAATGAGAATGAGAACAAAAACAATTGTTCGCTACACCACAATGGCAAGGCATGTGAAATAAAATAGAATGCCATTCTCGGCGGTACAAGGTATTAGTTATAAATAAGTAACTGGAACCGCCAGTTGAAAAAAATATCCTTTTCTCACGTTTTACCACGTTTCACTACGGTGACTGAACAGTGCACAGACCAGGAAGTGAGAACGAATCATATATTATAATTGGATCTTGTGTATTTGTTATATTATACAGAAGAGCATTATTTCAGCAAAGGCAGTGGCATACTGAGATTTTATTCTAGGAATAGTGGGGTTTGACACCTAGAAATTATAGCAACTTAAAATGTTGGTAGGTAGATTTCAGTGATTTGTTTTTGTTTCAACACTTGATAATATCATAAACCTTACATTTTTATCGAATGATGTTTAGAACAGTTACATCAATCATTTTGCTTGGAAGCATAATATTATACTTCATATGGGAGGTCGGGGGGGTTTGATAAATTGAGAAAAAATCAGAAGTCGCGGTTTCTTCATAGATAATGGGTTATATACAGGGTGTCTGTGAAAGGTTGGGACATGGCTCGGCTGTGGACTCCTGGGATAAAAACAAGTTGATTTAGGCCAACTTACCTATATCCAAAATCGTCTCGTTGAGTTGGTTCAAGGCTTTGAAATTTTATTGAAAAAAAAATAATTTTGCTCATAAAAATAGCTAGTAGGCTGAGATCGATTTTCATAATTTTTGGCATGGCATGTTCTGTGACTGTAAGTCACGTTTTGAGATGTTTTTGATCATCATAAGTGGCATCATAGTAGGCTGAGATCGATTTTCATAATTTTTGGCATGGCATGTTCTGTGACTGTAAGTCACGTTTTGAGATGTTTTTGATCATCATAAGTGACGTGGAAGTGTTTAAGACAGCCATGTTGCCGTACGAATTTGGTGATAACTTTTCAGAGGTCAGACTGGAAACTTCCAGTTTTTTTTTTCAGAAAGATATTCCCTTCAGAAATATTTTTTGTATCGTGTTAATTTTTGATAAGTCTCGAGGTTCATTTGCAAATAAATAATTTTTGATATGATGCATCCTGCGCATTTTTGAAAATTAATCTAATTAGTCGGACTGTTTATTGATCATGGCTACAATGTATTCTTATTGTAAACAAACTGATATGTTGCTGGCCCTCGCTGGCTTTACAAGAACTCTCGCGTTACAAATTTAGCGATAACTATTCAGTACCTAAGATGAGCAATTTAACGCCTTGTACCAACTCAATGAAACGATTTTGGATATAGGTAAACTAACTAAAATCAATTTATTTTATCCCAGGAGTCTACAGTCAAGCCATGTCCCAACCAGATTATTTTTCTTAAAAATGCATAAATGCCTCAGATCAGAAATTATTTATTTGCAAATGAACCTCGAGACTTATCAAAAATTGACACGATACAAAAAATATTTCTGAAGGGAATATCATTCTGAAAAAAAAACTGGAAGTTTCCAGTTCGACCTCTGAGAAGTTATCACCAAATTTGTACGGTAACATGGTTGTTTGAAACACTTGCAGGTCACTGATGATGATCAAAAACATCTAAAAACGTGACTTATAGTCATGCCATGCCATGCCAAAAATTATGAGAATTGATCTCAGCCTACTCTTTTTATGAGCAAAATTGTTTTTTTCCAAAAAACTCCAACGCCTCGTACCAACTCAATGAGATGATTTTGGATACAGGTAAGTTGGCCTAAATCAAATTGTTTTTATCCCAGGAGTCCACAAACGAGCCATGTCTCAACCTTTTACAGACACCCTGTATATTCCTTGAACAATATTTTCATTCAACTTTTCCTACCTCTGTTATTTTTTATTTTGGGCCACCACGTTCGATAATCTGGTGTCAAAGTTTGAAAGTTGAAACAGTTTTCATGTGTATTTGATGATATATTGACTTCAAAATCGATCCACAGGTTCAAAGTAACGATCCATATTTTTTCAACAAAACAAAACGGCCTGGGGAACTAACAACCTAACTGAATTCAACGCCACCAAAACTCAAGCCTGTATTTTCTCTAGAAATGCGGATTTCAGTATATGCCTGATATAACAATGTCTGGTACTACCATTCCCACCAACTTTCATAGGAAAATCATGTCCGATCCATCGTGCGAAAATCTACTTCACATCTCAACAGATACGGCCAGTTTCAGAATACTGTTCTCACATATTGGTTTCAGCACCCAAACATACGCTGATGCTCTTCAGAGAACAGCCATCCGCCTGGTGGGTGATGCCACAATCACTAATACTTTGACTCCATTAGAACACTGTGGAAAAGTCGGCGACCTTTCACTTTTCTAATGATACTTCCACAGGAAATATTCCTCAGAAATCTCTGCTATCAGAAAAAGCTTTGGAATTCTTTTCCAATGGAAC